TCCCCGGTAATGGATCGTGCGGCAGCTCCACCGCCTTCCGTATGTTTTACAGCAGTTACACAAAGATCGAAATGCTGAACTAAGGACTCTAGCAGATTGGCCATTTCCTGCGCATGCATCTCCAATGACTGTAACATGGGTGGCATTGATGACAATGACGGCAGGCTCGAATTAGATGCGGATGACGACGATGAGGACGAGGAAGCTAACTTGGTAGCTTCTCGGTAATTGCCCAGAGCTTGCTTGATGGACTGGAGTTCATCATCGAATGCGGAGTTGGAAGTATCCAGTTCCGCCTGCGCCTCATTGGTGCGATCAATTGAGCTCTTCAGAGCCGCACGAAGCTCCTCAACCCCACGTTCATCCACAAAGTCATGTAAGCTTCTGGGTTCTTCGCCGTCAGGACGAAATGAAGAGTGAACGATTGTATCCCGTAAGGAGTCAAGCGTCTTTCTCAATCGGGCATCAGCAGTGTCCAGGCTCTTCAAGACACTAGCGAACTCCGACCGGCCCCTGAGAGACACTTCTTCGACTTCAGAGCGGACACTGTAAAGAAGCCGCAGTTGATTGTTAAGCCCGCGTCGGAGAAAGCCAGTCCGTGCGGAAATCACGACACTCTCTTCCAGTGCAGAGCGAGCGGAAGTTACAATCTCATTGGCACGCCACACGTGATTGATGGATGACAGGGACCGTTTTGCTGCTACCAGGTGGGAAATGAGAGAATCCAACTGAGGCAATGCGTTGCCCTGGTCTCCAGCTGGCGAATCGGGGCCAGACGCATCGCTGCCGGCCGATAATGACCCTGATGCTGACATTTCGGAAAAGGGGTCGGCGTAATTGGCGCTGATTGGAAATTATAGCGAAAGGAGGAATGCTGGCGTGATAGCCTGACAGAATGGCCCAATAATGCCCGATAAAGCAGCAGAGTATAGTGGTTCAGGGCAGAGCCGTTCAACGGCCGGAAGGAGTAAGTTTCGGGGCAACGTTACAGTAGCTATGTCGTAAGAAGTCATAAATCTAGTGCACAATCACCTCATGGGGTTGTAACAATAATGGAATCAGAAAATTTTCAGGTCCTTGATTTCGTCAGTTCTCGGTTTCATGTGCGATCGACATGGCTCTGCTGGAAAAAGAAGGATCTGGCGGTGAGTTTGCAGATGACTGGTCAACAAGACCTAGTAAGGTAACACCTGTGTAAGTCTCCGTCGACCGTGCTTCCTGTCGTACCGCCTGCAGTAGCAAACAAGGAAGCCTGCAGAAGAAGCAGGATGGAAGGCAAGAGGGGGGGGTTGTCGTGCCCAGGACTGGTCTGAGGGCTGGTGGTTGATACCCAACGCTTCGTCAGTGAGAAGCGCGATATTGTACGAGCTATGGGAGTAATTCCAATCCAGAAAGTCGACGCTAGAATAGGACCCAAAAATACCTGAGCGGAGCAATTGCGCCTCGCAGCAGGGGTCAGAAAGACCAGAGGCCTGAGAATGCGGGATTGGAGAGGGAGGTGACGATAGAGGACGGGATGGATGGAGTTCAGGCAGGCGACCTTAGCGTCTCGGAGAGCCCATGGGAGTTCGGCTCGAGGACCAGCTCGACTGCAGCTCCCTCACTAGCAGACTAGCTAGTTAGCCGATCGTCTGGAGGATCTGAGTCAAAGTCGGGGATCCGCAATTGACCCCGGCGATGGCGACAGCGGCCAGATAGCAATAGTTCGGGGGAATGATCGCTGGAGAGAAGCACCAGCAGCAGCGGTACTGCTTAGTAGCGCTTAGTGAAAGGCGAGAGATGTTGCGACGGGAGGCGGCGATGGCGCCATCGCTCGCACGTGATTGGACCCAATCGAGACTGGCAGCACGAGTCCATCATCAGCCTTTGCGTGATCACGTCTTTTTTCCTTCGTTATTCTTCTGGAATTCTTCTGTTCAGCACTTATATTTATAGTCCTTCCCCAGGGTTGTCTGGTCACTTTTCTTGAGATTGGCTGGTCCAGATCAAGCTCCTATCGTTTCTTGTTATCGGTCTATCTACCTACTCTGTACTAACAGCCTTTAATCGCCCTGCACCACTTGCGACCGTCTCCCGCTTCCCGTCCACCCTTCTCCGTCCTCCGCCCCGGTCATTGGCAACTTACTCAACTTTACTCGAACAACCCCCCCTCTCCTCCTCAGGGTCCTCACCGGTCAACTACTTCATCACCACCTTCTTTCTCTTTATTTCTGCGCCAGAATCCGTCGCAGAAATAGTATATCTTGGAGCCATACAGCCTGGTGCTATCCACGACTGCGCTTCTAGCTCGCTGGTTACAGTAGCCGAGGCCACGCTAGCGGGCGAGTAGCGGCGCTGCGGTTCCAGTGGCACAACTTCGGACTGCCGTCGCGTGGGAGAATCCACCACAGTTCTTCATTCAGCAAGATGGAAAGCACACGGTCTCAGGAGGAGAACGCCATATCCTCGCCTCCGGCCTTCACGTCGATCTTCGGTGGTCACGCTGAGTCCGCGGAGGAGATCGATGCTGATGCCGACAATAGCCAGCTGAAGCCCCACAATCGCAACAACGTAACAGCAACTTCGGCCAAGCTCGTGGGCAAAAGTGTCGCCCCTTTCCTCGCAAAGCACGTTCCCGACCAATACGCCCCCCTCGGATCGCAAAATAGAGAACCTGCCGCCTTGAGCAGCGCAAACTCCCGCTATTGCTATCGACATCGACCAGACCGCAAGTGTCGCCGGCAGGCCGACGAACCGACAATGGACAAATTGCAACGGGTATGTCCTCTACCATTTTCGTCCGAAGGACACCGCAAAAAATATTTGCATCCATGATCGTGGACTAACGGGGGCCTAGGAATTGGAGTCGCTCCCTCAGAGTGATCAGCAGGGCATTGCGCATGTCTGGTCGCTCTTCTCAGCCGCCCCAGCCAAGCACCGAAAACTCATACTCCAGGGAATCATGGCTCAATGCTGCTTCCCTCAACTCTCGTTCATTTCCACCACCGTCCGTGACCTCATCCGAATCGACTTCATTGCCGCTCTTCCTCCGGAGATCTCTTTTAAAATACTGTGCTACCTGGACACCACTTCTCTTTGTAAAGCCGCACAGGTTTCGCGACGTTGGAGGGCGCTGGCCGACGACGATGTGGTCTGGCATCGCATGTGCGAGCAACATATTCATCGCAAGTGCAAGAAATGTGGCTGGGGACTTCCTCTTCTGGATCGGAAGAGGCTTCGTGAATCGAAGCGCGAGATTGAGCTTCGCGCCACGACCTGGGATGTCAACAGCCCGTCTCCGAAAGAGACTCCTGCGCTCATTGAGGGTTCTTCGCCTGTCGCCGACAGCAGCATTGGTACTAGTACTGGTAAACGAAAGCCTGAGCCAAGCGAGGAAGAGACTGCCGTCGTCAAACGCCACTGCCAGTCGCTCGCGATGCGCCCAGAAGGAAGCGAAGATTATTTCAAAACCCGGTACAGACCTTGGAAGGAAGTCTACAAGGATCGTTTCAAGGTGGGCACGAACTGGAAGTACGGACGCTGTTCGATCAGAATCTTCAAGGGCCACACAAATGGCGTGATGTGCTTGCAATTTGAGGACAACATCCTGGCAACCGGATCTTACGATGCGACGATCAAGATCTGGGATACCGAAATGGGCCAGGAAATTCGCACGCTTCGGGGACACGAATCGGGTATCCGATGCCTGCAGTTTGATGACACGAAGTTAATCAGCGGTAGTATGGATGGCAGCGTCAAAGTCTGGAACTGGCGCACCGGCGATTGCATTTCCACGTATACTGGTCATCGTGGCGGAGTAATCGGGCTGCACTTCGACGCTACCATCCTCGCATCCGCATCTGTTGATAAGACTGTGAAGATCTGGAATTTTGAGGACAAGTCAACTTGCCTCTTACGCGGACACACGGACTGGGTCAACGCGGTCCGGGTTGACACAGCCTCTCGCACGGTGTTCTCGGCGTCGGACGACTGCACGGTTCGGCTTTGGGATTTGGATACCAAGTCCTGCATCCGGACGTTCCATGGCCATGTGGGACAAGTTCAACAGGTTGTCCCTCTTCCCCGGGAATTCGAATTCGAAGAGCATGATGTGGAATGTGAGAACGACAACCTCAGCACTGTCTCCGGTGACACCGAGCCGGCATCTCTCCAGGCCACCCTTGGCCTCGAGTCGAATGCAGTTATCTCGCAGAATTCACCATTTGGCCCTTCTTTCGAGTCTGGTCGGACAGCACCGCCGCGCTACATTGTTACTAGCGCTTTGGACTCGACAATCCGTCTGTGGGAGACCAGCACCGGCCGGTGCCTGCGTACGTTCTTCGGCCATTTGGAGGGTGTCTGGGCTTTGGCAGCGGATACCCTGCGTATTGTTTCTGGGGCTGAGGACCGGATGATCAAGATCTGGGATCCGCGAACCGGAAAGTGCGAGCGTACGTTCACCGGCCACTCTGGCCCTGTCACCTGCATTGGTCTTGGTGACAGTCGATTTGCTACTGGAAGCGAGGATTGCGAAGTGCGCATGTACAGCTTCCAGAGCTGATCTTGGCTTTTTTTCTATATTTATGTTGTTTCTGCTGGCCTTCAGCGCTGGCTTAGTTAACGTTCTTCTGACGATCAATACCCTTTAGTAGCGCAGTTCTTTTGATTGGATGGGTCTGGCTGGCAGAGGGATGGTGCATTTTTTAAGGACTTATCATGGGGTGTCTGGCGTTGTACTTCATACTGTGTACTTTAGCTACAGAAAGATTAATTTACCGCATCGGTCTACATTGTGCTTGTTCCTAGAAAGACACTTTCGACAGTCATGCCGCATCGGCTCCCTATGCTATCGTGGTGAGGCAGCAGTTCCAGACGCCACTACGTAATCACAACATAGCGTGTGATTCTCAGGAGAGGAAGCCAAGAAACAGCGTTAGAGCATATATGCCCTTCCATCTTTCATGTCATCCAAGTGAAGCATACAGTCATGAATTCTCAGCCCGCCATCATCACATAGGTTGCTACCATTCATCATAATCATCATCATAACTTTCTGGTCTTGCAGTTCTAGACACCCCCTTCTTGGGTGTGAGTGGTGACGGAGACGGGGATCTGGAAAGTTGACGCTCTATCGCTCTGTTAGATATTCCCATGGGTATCAGGTTCCTCGAAGACAGAGTGACAATTCTAGACGGGTTCTCCTTGAACACCGGTAGCTCCTTCATTCTCCTGTTGCTTTTCATCGGGTTTGTCAGCATTATCTTGAATATAGGAATCAGTGACCGATCCTCCACCATGCATTGCAACCATTCCATTACAGTGGCTAGTTCTGCAAAAGTCTTGTCTTTGTCGAACCAAGAAATGGAGTCAATGATGCAGTACACTCTCGTGTCGGCTGGGAACTGAGGCACAAGCGAGTAGAGTGTGTCGCAGAGTGCGTTTAAGTCGTGCTCCTCGAGGTCTCTCAGGTAGTCCCGATTGTTGATGAACTTCAAATCTAGGATATTCATCTTGACCAGTTTCATCAAGAGTTGCATGATAATCGAACGGACTAGACCGTTCGGCCCGTGCCAGGGATCCAGGGGAGCGGTATGTAATCCACAGAAAAATTGGACAACCACGTCGTCAGGATGCACTTCGATCATGCTAGAGACCAAGGTGGCGCAAAATACTGATATTGCGGAAACCTTTGACAGGCCGGATGAATTGATGTTCGCGTCGACGAGAATCAAATCGGGGTGATGGTGGGTTACCCATCGGTGTAACCGTTCATGTCGCAGCAGCGATTGGACTTGGCCTTGAGTGGCTGCATTGAACCTACTCTTGTGCACGAGGGCTCGTCTGAAGTCTTCGTTTGGGTGCTGGAACATGCGTTTTATATCGAGTGGCTTGTCTTCAGTAGAGCTGGGCTGGACTATAATCTCACAGAAACGATTCATGCTGACCACTGCACCGCGTTTCCGTTTCTGACTGAGTTGTTCTTTCAGCATGGCGATCTTGGCATCTTTCTCTGTAAGAATATATGTCAGCTAGACAGGTGGCTCGGGTGATCTTTTTCACCCAGGTCCATACTAGTCTTCACATACTTTTACCCTCGAGAAGGAGCGTCATGAGTTGGTTCTTTAGACTTAGCGAGCCGTCTTCCAGGGCGCTCTCTCGCTTGGCGATCTTGCTCTTCGCCTCAATTTGCCCGATGATGAAGTTGCATAACTCTTGGTGTCTTCTTTCGCTATTCTCACTTTCTCTCTTCATGAAGGTTGTGTTTTCATCGATTCCCTTCTTCAGGCCCGTGGTTTCCGTGGTCATGTGCTCCATGCCAGTGCTGATTTGAGACACCAAGCCATGCACCTCGCCCACCTCGCAGCCCACACTCTCAAGCCTCACACCACTCTTCTCGATATCTGACCTTAGGATCTCCGTGTTGTTCTTCGTGGAGCTCACCTCCCACTGGATCATAGTAGTTCTCATGTTGGTATCCTGAGACACCACTGCTGTGCTCTCGATGACCTGGTCTCGAGCCATGCCAACAGCCCGCTCGAAATCCTTGGTGTGATCTACTACATTTTGCAAAATTGTATCAGGATCGGGTGCAGGTGTCTTATGCTTGAACTTAGGAATGAGCCTTCGCCCTTAGCCATGATCAGCAACTTTGACATTCCAGGGAATGATGTATGGTTGTCACTTACATGTGGATTTCTCCTGCGAGGTCAATAGTATCATGTCCTCGATAGAATCCACAACGGTCTGATAGAGATGTTCCGCGCAAACTGCGACTTCCTTGTTGGCTCGAAAGCTCGTTCGTGTTGGATCCGCTCGCATGAGGGCATTTCGCAATTCCGCGAACGTCTTGAAGATTTTGTTGCGTTTCTCTGCTGAGTGTTCAGCAAGCTAGCAAAGTGAGTCCCAGACCTTGTACAAGACTGAAGAGGATATACATAGAACATGTGAGACGAACCTTGAACACCACTGCAAGACCAGTTTTGACTACAGTAAGCCCATACGCGTCTGGTATGAGGGCGACCCACCCGTCGAGCATACTACTATAGTCGCCCATCTTGTACCATATCAAATGCCAAAGACTTTCCTTACGATTGCGGTATCGATCTTCTATGCCATTTATTTTCTCGCACAAGCCATCCCAGCTATCCCCCTGGACACGGATGCCCAGGACGGTGTCTATGTAGATCTTCAAAGCCCTTTCCAACTGTCTGATTGCTTTTATTAGATACACATCTGGAAATGCCTCAGGTTGACACAGCAAGAATCGAATGCAGCTTACAAGTAAGGCCGAAACTTCACATACTCCCCTCGTTCCAGGTCGAGCTTGGACGACCCTCCAAACCCGTCATGAGTCTTGTGAGCTTCTGAGTCGATGAACGTAGCAGTTGTCGCGACCTCTCTTCTGCTGGGACTTTCCCAGTTCAAGTCCATTTTGTTTGACCACACATAGATGGAGGACTGGACCGAATGGGATGCTGACTCCCTGATGACTGGTAGGTGATAATGGTGGGATGAGACTTGAGATAGCTCGTCCAGTACCGAGGAAGGAGAAACAGCCCTGCGTTTACTTGAGGGATGTCAACACAATGGCATTGTCAGAAGACAAACTGAACCGCTCGATCTACATATTAAAGGTATCGGCTAGACTCTATGAACACAGCCTCGTTGTTCGTCCCGCTTATCGCGGCGTTAAATGATATAATTGGGCTGGCAGCCCGAAAGCGAGCACTGTGGAGCATGCTCTCTGCGTTGATCACGCAGCTCCATCCGGAACGAGTATGGTCCTGTCAGCTCCACGATTTAGCTTGTTGATCACCAACACGTCAATCCGGTGCGACAGGTTCAGCTGTTCAGCTTAGCCCATTCTGAGAACGCTATGTGGTTTTGACCGCAAGTGAGGTGCGCCGATCATCGAGAGGAGCCGTGTTTTCAATCAAAGTCGGTTTCTTAGGGGCTCCACAAGCCATCTTCAAGAGATAACCTTTATTCGGGGGATCCTGGTTCAGCATGACAGCCAACATGCGGCTGCTTCTCCATTCTTTTCAACTACTAAAAGTTGGGCCAATTCTACGATCCCACCATCCCTACGATCCGCTAAGGAGAATCCATTCATAAGTTTCAGACAGCTGCCAGCCAGCTTCTTGCTGTTGCAAATTGACAAAACTGCTGGTGGATCAGTCGTCTACAAGCCTTATAGACAGTTTTAAGCAAAACGGTCCTCTTGTCCAGCTACAATCAGGGCCAATCCAGACAGTGACATTGTGCCGCCAGCCGTCGTCAAATCCACCGGCACCGAGGCCAGAAGTTCGGAGGAAAGTCCTTCCCACATGACGAGCCCTGTGGATATCGCTGTCGACTCGGGCAAAGATGACACACCGGCCGACACAATGGCCGCTTCACCAAACGGAGATGATAGTACGGCCGAGTCCGAAAACGAAGAAGAGTCGTGGGAAGATACGCTACAGAAAACGCCAAAGGTCATCGACGTCAAATGGGTTGATTTCGAACATTTCAAGAACTGTTATTCCCCAAGCGCAGGCTTAGAGATAATCCAAGTCCTACGAGGCCTCCCGCAAATCGATCACGAGGTTATGAAAGAAAAGAACACGCGACTGAAATATCCGAAGAAATTGAAAGGCAGGTTGTCCAAATCGATCGCAGATGCTGAGTCGAGCTGGATCCAGCGCGTTCGGATCCAATCGCCACCGATTCTTCTTCTGCTCTCGCGCTTGACTGGACATGGTGATTACTGGGCAATCAACAAACCGCGTGTATTCTTTCCACCCTTCCGAGCATTCTACTACTACCTGCCTCTGATGAAGGAGTGTCTGGGAATTCTCGAGGCAAAGTGGGCCAAACTCGAAGCGCAGGTAGACGGGGATCGAGGAGCCGCTACGAGGGCCGAGACCAAGGCCAACACTGAGATCGAACAAGCAAAGGCCCCAGAAGACTTGGACGGCGACACGGATGATGAATCAATTGCTGGTGACGATTCAGGATCCATAGATCCTGAAGAGGCCGTTGCCGGACAAATTGTGGACTCGGTCACTGGACTCAGGCATGTTCGGCGATATATCAAATTTGTGGAAGCAGAGATCGTGCCGCTCTGGAACCGCGCTGCCGGAACCAGTCAACGTAAAGTTCGCTTTCTCGACCTCTGGATGTTATTCCAACCCGGCGAGCTTCTCTATGTGCCCCCCAGGTCAGAATTCTCGCAGACATCGCAGATAGCCAAGTCTGCCAATGTCAAGATGTACCAAAGTGCCTGGAGGCTCTATACCATGGCACTGACACGGTTCGATGATTACTACCTCGATGACACGCGAGTAAATCCCGAAAGGGGATTGTCACTCTCTGTCTATCACATCGACTACAACGGGTCCTCATATGGACCGGTTCAACACGAGTTCAAAATCCCTGATTATGCTGGGGAGAGAGACATTACGACCCTCGAAGTCTATCCGATGCGTTTCGCGAAGGATTTTGAGGGGATGAAGAAGAGCCTTCAAGACCAGGGATCACAATTTCAAAATGTCGTGAGAGAGAGGCATCTCTACTACGACGGATGGACGCTCGTCCATGGACCAACCGCGGATCCTGACTCGGAACCTCGAATAGCCTCCGAGCACATCGACGGCGATGTGATAATTGACTTCCTCGAGGGATACAAGGCAGAGTCTTCTCTGAGTTCACCATCGTTTGACGGTTTAACCGTATCTGATGACCCTGACTGGCCGGTAGGAGATGATGATATCTCCATCCAGTATTGGCTGAATGGTTCGCGATCGAAACTTCTCGGGGAGATTGCGGAGATTACACAGCCAGGCGAATGGTTCGCCGAGTGGCTGAAAAAGCGCCTTCTAAAAGAGGACACATTTCTCAGGGCATGGGGAGCGGGAAGTGTGCCACAGCTTGAGGGAGACGACCTCGCACTCCTTCCACGCCGCGTCGTCGCGTATGTGTTCCGGGAGCGCAAGTTCGTTATGCTCGATATTGGCGGCCTAAAGAAGAAGGATCCCGCACCTCAGAACGTCTTCAAAGATCTGAAGATCGACCCGGATCACAAGCACATGGTCAGGTCACTGGTAGGAACGCATTTTGCGAAGCAAGAAATGCAGAAGCAGCGGCATAATCTCAGCTTGAATCAGGACCTCATTCGAGGGAAGGGCTCGGGGTTGGTCATTCTCCTACATGGCGTTCCTGGTGTGGGCAAAACAGCCACAGCTGAGGCTGTTGCTCAATCCAACAACAAGCCTCTCTTTGTCATCACATGCGGTGATCTTGGCTTTACCCCGAAAGAAGTCGACGCCTCTCTCAAGGAAATTTTTCGCCTGGCTCATCTTTGGGAATGTGTTTTGTTACTTGATGAGGCTGACGTCTTCTTGTCTCGCCGAGAGGTGAGTGATTTAGAGCGGAATGCCCTCGTCTCAGGTAAGAATCCAGTTGCTTTCATCCTAACACCCTCCCAGAACATACTAAACTTTCTCTAGTATTTCTTCGAGTCCTAGAGTACTACAGTGGCATTCTCTTCCTCACCACTAATCGGGTTGGAACGTTAGATGAAGCTTTCAAATCCCGCATCCACGTCAGCCTATACTACCCACCGCTGGACAAGAGTCAGACCCTGGCAATCTTCGATGTCAACATCCGAAAACTGAATGAAATCCAAGAGGCAAAGCAAAAGCTGCAAGATGATGGTCAATCCAGCGCCCTCAGAGAACCGGCGCTGGCAATCGATGGTGAGTCCATCATGGACTATGCAAAATGGCACTACGACACCCATGAGCAGAACGAGAGATGGAATGGTAGGCAGATCCGAAACGCATTCCAGATAGCGTACTCGCTTGCACATTACGAAATGGGGAGAATCTCACAGGACCAATGGGACGAGGATGCCGAACCGATTATCAAGAAGGCTAGCAACGGTCCCCTGGCAACACATACACTGAACTATCGGCAGTTCGTTCTTGTCGCCAAGACCATTGAAAAATTTGATGACTACCTCTACGATGCCATCGCCTGTACTGATATGGACCATGCTAGGGACAATGGCCTTCGAGCAGATGACCATGATCCCAACATGTACCACAGACCTGACTACCGTCCTCAGCTGCCGAGAACTCGGCGTCCGATTTATGCCCCTGCACCTCGTGCCTCACAGCAGAGATACGATCCGCCACGGCCTCATCAATCTAGGCGTGGCTACAGTGGCCAAGGTCTGGCGCAGCGGCCTCGACACCCAGGTGCCCCACGACTAGATCATCAACTTCCCGAGGATCCAGGTCTACAACCAAAACATCGGCCAAGGAATCTAGCGATACCGCCGAAGGAGAATGGCCGGCTTCAACCACGGCCCCATCCGTCGCAAATGAAATCCCGGTCTAGGCTAACGGGCATGCGACAAGATGATGATGATGATGATTACTCGGGATGGAGCACACATGAGACCCATACTGCCGCTACCCCAGATGATGCCTATTTTTCGGACGATATGGACGATAGGGATGATGAGTATGTTGATGGTCACGATCAAGATTATGATGATGGGTATGAGAGATATTAGGCTTGTGGAGCTCAATTCCACTTGTCTTGCCGCGACAACGAAACACATTCTACATCAAGAGTGACTATATGGGGGCTTACACAGACCTTTCCGATGAGATATACGATGATCCAGTATGTACTACCACTACCTTCTAATAGGAACCTCAGCCGTTACTAAAGCTGAGATGTAAAAATACACTAATGCCCTGCATTGTAGGCTTATCTATAAATAGGCTCGATTCAATCCAAGTCTTTATCAGATACCAATTAGTATTACGCTGCAATCCATGGAACTTGTGTCGGATGATACCTCGCACCTGATGACTATTACAAGCCGCTACGGTTTAAGCTTCTAGGCTCGTCTTTAGACCTCCCATTCATTCCATTTAGTATTTCTTCGAGCTAGATCCTGCCCGCTCGGACAACGGTCCCCGGTTTCTTGGTACTACTATATATAATGGTCTCGTCAAATCCCATCCACTCAATCTGTCATTTCGATGAACCGAGCTACTATGTCCTGAACATGCTAGCTTGAGTTTCCCTAAATCCTTCCTAGCATACATGCGGAGTTCTTCTACTGTTCCCGTGTTCGCCCACAATGTATACCAGTCACCATGAAATCATGTATAGCATCACCCCGCCGTGATTCCCCTCCAAAACCGCAAAAGACGTCAAAATCACAACTATCATGATTCCAAAATTTCTATACCCGTCGAGTGGTCACAATGAGCTCTACAGAAAAATCTGTCAACTATAAAGCTCGTCCGAATTTCAGTGAGTTTGCTCCAGAACTTCTCCTTCGACAACCACCTCGTTTATACTATTCCACACTCAACTCGACTTTACTACAACATTCTCACCGACACACTCTTTATTAATATTTATTCCTGATCGAACCTTGGCTTCGACTTTTACTTTATCATTTCAGCCAACAAACTACGCAACCTTACATTCCTATTAATCATCTCCTACCAACCACCATGCCTTCCTTCTCTTCTACCTTCTCCTCTATCTTCAAGTCCTCCAAGAAGAGGAATATTACCAACAAGAACTCCTCCGATATTGTGAAAATGTCATCCATTTCTAAGTCTTCTAATAAGAAGATCACTACTACTGCAGCCAGTAATGGCAGGAATATCAACAACGTGAATAATAATACCAACAAAAGCGACAATAAGATCGCCAAAGACAGCTACAACAATATGAACAATAAGACTTTCAACATGGCCGATAAGAGCCCTAACAACAACTATTACAATAATAAAATCTCCGCCACCACTACTACGAACGCCACCAACAACAAAAACAACATCGGCAATGACGACAATAAAACTGATAACAACATCGCCACCAACGATATCGAGCCAGTCGACCTCGGTATACCTCGCAGAGGCCAATATATTACCCGCGATGGCATCGACGTCGTGGCAGTCCTTGAGACTTGGTAAGCTCAGCTGACTCCTATAATAAACAGCTGGCTAATATACAACAGGCATCAAATCTACACCGGATGGCAGATCGTCTCTGCTGAGCTAGAGAGAAAGGAGAAGATGCGCCAACGTCGTCGGTTATGTGAGTATATAAATCCTTACATAGTAGCAGCGTAGTAAGCTAACTGCTGTGCAGAAACGGAGTTACCCGACAACACAGACAGCAGTCGAGGAGTTGATTGATTCTCGGAGATGGGTGAAACATATTAAGGGCCTGATTGGATGTTATTATATATGGGGATGCTATTTATCTAGTGTAGTAGGGATTTCTGTAGGTTTTCGTCCCCATGAGGGTTTTCCTGCAGACTTTTATACCTATCCACAAGGCAATGTGGTATGTGGTATAGAAGATAGAATTATAATCCTGAAAATAAATATAAATGATTTACAGCCTGCATCTTTGGGTTTGACTTGTGTTCGGCTTTATCTACCAGTAGTTCGAGGATACCTTTGTACATGTTGGGTTGAGTTCGCAGCCTCGACTGCAGCTTCGTCAATCGAGTTTCTCAAGCTAATGTATCAGTGCTCGTAGGTTCTGCAAATAAAAGGATTATCGAGGATATATATCTCAGCGCTATATGTATCTGTTAAAGTGCAATGAATATCGTAGTTTCTGTATCATAGCAATAAGGTCTGTAACACTACAGCCTTGCCATCACTTGTTTCACAGCTAACATATCAAACAAGGAGACAGAATATCCTAGAGTTGTATTAGATCCAAACCATTATAATATCACAACTTATATCTTGGAAGCCTGAGATAAAGCGCTTCTCTATTTATAGTGACAACCCGCATCGCCAAATGTCAAAGTCATCTACATCACAATCGCGACACATCTGACTCACCAGCAACAGCTTCACCCTGTCATGACATACTATGGCATCATCACAACGGGATCTCCTATTCCTCATCACTAATCTACATTCCTTTCCTCTCTTTTCCTTTACCATGATACTCTCTAACCCATCAAACCCACTACTTTATCCACATCAACCACAAACACATCTAACCCTCAATATACTAAACAACCACCTCGAACTCACCTTATACTCCCAACAAAATGAAGTACACAGACGGCCAAGTCACCCATTACTCCTCCCAGATCATCGATCTAGAAGCCAACAACCAGAGCCCATCCACGGAAAACATTCCCTTGTCGACGTATACCACTGCACCGACTCAGCCTTGTGACACTCCCTGGCCGGGAAGTACACAGGGCCAGACAACGGCTCAGGAGCAAACAAAGGCATTGGAAACGAGACCTACCGAATCATTTGGTAAGAAGCCCTCCTGATATTGAGTTATGCAAAAAAGATCATGCTAACAAGCATTCAAGGAGCCGCGGAATGCTGTGGGATCTGTTTCATGCTCTTTATGTACATCATCGGTTTTGCGTCTGTAGGCTTTATAATGTTTGGGATTTTCTATTGGGCCTTGTAGTGAGTATATACCCTTTTTGTGTGACTAACCGATGAAATAGAAACCGTTGCTGATGGTGTGATAGCGTGCCTATCTTTAGTACGATGTAACCAAGACGATGCTTAGGGGTGACTGTGTGGATGACTGATGATTGGGATGGAACAGACCGAGTGTTTGAGTTGCTTGAGGGGAGATGAATGACTTGCTGATATGTGTTTGTCTTGGTTTTGATTTAGCGGATTTGTCAGTTCGATTAGGGTTGGATTTGAGTGATTCGCTTTTGGAAGAGTCTTTTCTATGTGTTGGTCAGATGTTACTGTTATACTGGCTGTGAGATATTAGAGTATCTGCGAGGGAGATGTGAGAGTACTTGATTGATACCCAGGTTCCTTGTCAACGACTTCTACATTGATTATTGAAAAAGTTGACCAGAGAAGTAAGTATAACCACTAGTAAGCAGCATGTCTTTAATAGTAGGGATTGATATAACCTCACTCCATAGTCACATCTGAGCACCCACACCCACAACCTATACCCACCAACCACCAGCCCAGTATCCTCACCTCACTCCATCCCCAGCCCTACCACCATACCCTATACCCTTCCTCCCCTCCCATTTCCAACACCTACAACCCACCACCACTACCAAACACAACACCACCACAATGTCCCCCCCAACCCCGCTAAATCCTCCAACCCTCCAACAGCTCCTCACCCGCCTCGCCCTCGCAAAGCGCCTCTTTCTCAAACCGAAATCCAAACGGCGCCTCACACAACAAACCACCACCACCAAAAAGAAGCCCACAACTACCCCTCCCACGCGGGAATACTCCCTCCGCAAACGCCCTCCACCAGTCACCACTCCAACTACCATACTCACCTCCTGGCGCGACGAAGACGACAGCACCGACGACGACGACTACGATCCGCGAATCGAGCGAGCGTACCTAAGACGCAAGAAGCCAGCGAAGCGAGCCAAGACAGAGAACGGGAACTTGAGTCTCATTGTGAAGATCAAGATCAACATGGAGAGTGAAGCCGGGAAGGCTTTTCTGGATACGTTGGGGATGTATCAGGATGATGATAACGATCCGATAGTTGACGAAAAGAGAACTAAGATTATGGGGGATGAGGATATAGTTGAAGGAATGTCAATACCATCATCAGCGTGCAAGCCATGCATCGAAAAAGGGAGGTCATGTTCCATAACCAGTACACATCTCCTGAATGATCAAGAACCAGACACAGGGACAATGAAGTACCCATGCGAACAATGCATCCAAGACACTATCATCTGTGAACCCATGCCCACCCAACCCATACCTACAGTCCCCAATCCCTATACATCACCATCAACTACACCACCCCCAGAAACCCATCCTTCAATAATCCAAACCATAACAACAATAACCACCTCCCTCACCCACCCCATAACCCTAACCCCAACATCCCAAACCTGCTCCTTCTGCCCCTCCCTCCCCTACAGCCTCTTCGGACAGTACCAACCCCCGCGAACAATCTCCGTCTTACCGATCCTGCCCCGGGGGAATAAACTAGGAGATTACATGGAACTACATCCGCAATTATCTACTACTACTAGTATTATAACACGCATATGCGTGACATGTGCATTGGAACGATTGCGGATAATGCTTTGCGGTACACACACACCCACATTATCAACATCATCACTAGCACCATCTTCTGAATCTTCTTCTACATCAGAATCGAAATCAACATCTCAATCCATCTCATCACCAACAACCCACAAAATCCTCCCACTAAAAGGCTACGACCCCAACACATTCGACTTCGAAACCGCGTATAAAAACCTCGCTTCTTCATCATCATCTTTTCTGTCCTCAGCATGTTCACTACAACCTACCACCACTACTACTACTACTAACCCCTGGTGTTCTCTGTGTCCGCATCCTGCGTTTTATGGATGTGCGAGATTGCAGAGTAGGGATGTTTATCTGGAGGAAATCACTGAGCCTCAAGCAATGGGTGTTGGATGCGGGTTGTTGCTTTGTGAGCGGTGTGAGGTGTTGATGCGGATGTTTAAGGGAAGGGTGGAGGATGTGGTGAGGAGGAATGAGGAGGATGCGGTGAAGAATTATAGTACTACTGGTGATGGTGGGATTGGAGGGAGTAGGGCCGATGTGGGGTTTTTGTTAAAGGGGGAGTGGCTTTGGAGGGTGTTTATGGGGGAAGGGGATTGTCTTCTTCAACCTTTTGCTGGTTCTGGGAATAGATAGTATTAATGGATGCATCGATCAAAGGGCATTCGAATTAACTTGATTAAGCCAATATCCGTAGATTAAAGAGTTTCAGTTCGCCACGCCTCGCTAATACATAGAAAATTCCAACGCCGTCAGCTGCAGATACAGTCTTACTGCAGTCGTAACAATGAATTTCGAGAATTCGCACCAAGTCAAGACACCTGCATCGACTCTTGTCCCTCCAGCGGCTTCCGTCGGGGAATTTGCACCCCGTTTCGCAGCTGCTCCAATTTGATCACTCCCGGTCCTGTGCAGATCCGTCCGGTCTGCATCAGATTGCGCAGGCGTTTGCGCCGCGCCTCGCCACTACGCTCCTCACCACGCCCGACACCTTCATCTACCCACTCGACTCGCTGCACCTTGAAGCTCATGCCGTCATGCGAGCCCTCCCAGGCTCGCGACTTCAATCCGAACAACACGCTGGAGTCGTATCGCTCCAGCCGGGGGAGAATCAGCAGCGTAATATGCAGATCCTTGTTGTTTGGTGGCACTGGCGGCACCCGGGGTCGCTCGCCATCTTCCGCTCCAACATCTTGCGCCGTTTTAGGTGCATGCTGATACGTGTCCCTGATTTCCAGGTCCAGTAGATCTACATCCACGTCCTCACCCCAAGCACCGCGAATAAAGCCAGAGTGGATTGCCGCCGCAACAGGGTCCGAGTCGTCCGTATACACGCCCGTGCCCCAGAGGGCGCGACGCGCGCAGATCTCCTCGCGATGGCTGGTGTCGATGCGGAAACGCGGCACACGAATCGTAAACGTGCAGTTCTCCTTGCCTTCAAAGCGAGGCAATGGAAGAGGTGTAGTCGTGTAACCGAACTTGGCACTCTCCAAGGTTGCCTTCTCAGTGGGTGCGCCGATCCGGGGCGCATACAAGGTCGAGCCCAAGTGGTGTCGAGGGAGATGGGCGACGCTTGACAGGAGTGGTTCGATAGTAACCACCGTGCGAGGCTCGCGCATAGGTGTGACGGCCGTATTTCCGGCCGGTCGGGGAGCATGATGGTGGTGATGATGGTGATGGTGGTGGTGATGTCCAAGAGCCTGGGCTGCAGCCGATGCGCTGCCTTCCCCGGGGGTGGCCGTTCGATGGAAGAAATTTACCGAAGACAGGGGACGGCTAGAGCCAAGAGCGGCAGCAGCAGCAGCGGCAGCTTCTTCTTCTGGCTTATGGCGATGATGATGATGGCTGTGCACATTAGCATGGGTACTGCAAACCTGAAGAATAAGGAATAACGTACTGATGATGGTGGTGATGGAGATGTCGGCTCCGTCGACCGCGGGCACCCAGGGCGGCCGCCTCGCTCTCGGCGCGACCATCCTCGTCGCGCGACTTTCTCGATCGCTTCCCATTCGCTGAGCTAGGTCGAGCAATCTTGGGATCATCTGTCTCCCCATTACTGGACCGACCAGCCGCACTGTCGCGTTTGAACGGGCTCGGGGCCATGGGAGTCGAAGGACCACTGCCACCAGTGGTAGCAGTAACCCCTCCCACACCACTTCCAATCCCGGAGAAAACTCGGCCAAGCTCATTCTTGATTCCGGCCTCGCCCGCGGGACCCAGGATCTGAGCCTGGGCACCCTGCACCGCTTGGGGCAGCGGCGATGCGCGCCCCCCTCGCTTCGCATCCAATCCAACCCCGAGAAGGTTACGATGCGCCATGAGTTCATCACTTCCTTTGCGTCGCTGGTCATCCGACGACGCGGAGTGAACTGCCGAGGGTGGGCCAGCGGACGAGGTGGGCGGAAAGGCGCGAGTCTCGGTCTGCAGTTTGCTGAGGTATGGCTGATCGTGTGACGGAGGGGGCGGCTGATTGGGAGGGGGATGGACGGAAAGCGAGGGCTGTCGTGACCCTCCGAGCTGGGAGCCCAAAGACTTGGTGTAGCTCTGAATAGCGCCAAAGCCAAAACCGGCGCCCGCCTCCGGGACGGAAAACCGTTTCGTCTCAGGCGACGGGGGCTGGGACCGGCCCAAGTCCCAGGCAGACGCGCCTTGTTGGCGATGCGCTGCAGCCTCCCGGTCCCCGTAAGGCGGCCCGTACCGCGATGGAGGGTGAGACGCGGCCTTGGTTTCAGCCTCGTGCGCCATCGCACGTTCTCGTTCACGATGGGCCTGTTCCTCCGCGTGTCGTTCCGCATACAGGCCTCCGTATCGGTGATGCTGGGCCTCATGGCCCATATATGATGCCGCTCGCTGATGCGCACTGGCAAATGGACCCTCTCCGGGCCCGGCCACGGCGGCAGGCCGTGACAGCGGACTATATCCAGTGGTGCGAGGCGGCGGTTCGAGGTGCTGCGGCTGGCTGTTGGGACGAGGGGCAGGTCCGCTGAAACTTAAGCGGCGTGGTTCGTTATACGGGGCTTCGGCGGACGATATTTGGGGCGAGGGATGGGTGGAGCTGGGCTTGTCGGGATACTGCGACGATGGCGGGCCGCGGGACAAGCCACCGAATTTAGCCTGTTCTGTCATGGGCTGGGGAACACCGCCGGAGCCGGATCGGTATGGACGTGACGGCTGGTTCTTCGCAAAGGTCTTTTCGGGTGTCTGGGAGCGTCGGAAACCTGGGTATTCGAGCGGAGACGGACGCGCTGGCGCGGTCGGCGGGGACATGGCACCGGGGGCCGACGGTGGGTGGGCGTTCCCGTACGGGGCGGACGAGACTGGAAGACGCGAAAAGATGGACGAAGAGCCTACATCCCGGCCTGGTCGGTCAGCGTCCGAGCCTAGCATGGACGATATCGACATGCTGCTCCCTGGACGGTGATGAGCCGGGTTGCTGGGAGGCTCACGCGACAAGAAGGGAGTGGACAGGGACGGAGCATTTCCCGTTTGGCCTCTGGAGGGATAGTGTTGGGGTGGTGAGGGAGGAGGCATACGTCGCGGCCCTAATGGCGGCGCAGCGGACTGCTCTTGGACACCTATGATAAGGGAAAAGTCGGAGTTAGCCAATATGTCCGATCAGCATAAACAACAGATACACTGCAAGAGAGAACAAGTGTGGTTGCAGCAAGCAAGATAGCATGGACATCAGGGAATTATTGCGCGAGTCCAACGATCTGCGACTCACCAGGGAACGCGGGACTGCCACTGCTGCCCAAGGACCTCCGGCGACCCTGGTCATGCGACGGGGGAGGATTCATGTCGCATGCAAAGGGGGAGAAGGGAGCTATAAAGGACCGCGACAATCAGGAAAGGGACAGATAAGAGTTCAACCGGGAGGATAGTAGGAACAGGAAAGGTAAGCAAGCGGCAGGGGGGAAAAGAAAGCCCGAGGGGGCGAAAAGAGAGGGAAGGGAGATGGGAGTGAAGGAGGGAGGAAGATGACGATGGCAGCAGCTGATGGGCGGCGAAGGAAGAAAGAATGGCGCGCGACAAGCAAAGCGAGTTCCGAACTGGGGCAGAACCCGTGACTCTGGGCCTGGACGAGCTCATGTCCGACGCTAGTCCCACTTGGGAAGCGATGCCCTGGCATCCCAAGCTAGCCCGGATCGGGTATAGCGCTCCCGAGGCTTCCTGGGCTGGAAGTCGATCAGGCGCCACAGACGCGCCGACTGCACCGCCCCTGATTGGCTCGCACTGCCGGGCACAAAGTTTGGGTTCCTTGTCGGAATCTGGCAGTGACGCTGGGATTGTAGTACGGATAAACAAATGCTGCAGCCGCGCCACACTGCACCCTCGCAGATGGCTAGACTCCGATCAGAGGAGTTTTTTCTTCTTCTTTGCATCCCCCCAGTTCGGACAGCTTCTGCTCCTTCTCGCATCTTACTTGCTTCTAGTCATGCCCCCAGTGGTCCGGTCATCGCGACGCGATTATGGTCTGACACTCCCGCATACCGGGCTCGTAGTCACATCCCAACATGGATAGAATATAAGAAAACAAAAGACCCAAAAAAAGGAGAGAACTGCACCGTAGCAGAGGATTATTTGGGGGTTATCGGGCAATTTAACATAACTTGAAGCGATATCATATCCAAAGAAAATGCAAGTTGCCTACCTTCACGATATACCACCCGACGTTCGGGCTTGTTGATGTGACTAACCGGGTAATGAGGGTCTGGACGATGTTCAGGCTCTCGATTGCCCCCGGGAAGACTCTGCTCTTTCAGCGAGACATGGCTCGCTGCTGATGTGTGATACCCATTGCTCTCTGTTCGATATGCCGCATAGGCGTTCTCATGGGCGTATGAGACGGGGGGCACGGAGGTAGGGACCGAGGAGGGCGGGTAACTGTAGGTTGGGGTGATACCGGATCGAGGCATCTCGGGCTCGCGGCGATGGAAATGGTCATAAAACATGCGTGGTGAGGAAGGGTGTGATGGTGGTGGAGGCCCGTAGGCGCGAGCTGGCGGCGCGGGGGGCGCAGCACGAGGGTCGTGGGCGACGACGCCCAACATGGACGGGTGCGTATGGTATGGATGATGAGGATGGTGTTTCTGAAAATCCATCATCATCTTCAGGGGAGGGGTGGATTGGGACGAATGGGGATTGCTGGCAGCATGAACGTTTTTGATTGATTGACTGGGGGGAAGGAAAGAATTGGGTTGGGGTTCGGGCGCGGATGGTTGTCAGTCAGTCAGTCAGTTAAGGTAAGGTCGCGAAATGGCGGTAAAAGTTGAGTTTAATCGACCCCGAACGGGAGAGTGGGGAAGGAAGAAGAAAAACAGAACACGGAGATCTTCAGTCGGATCTGGTAGCCGTTTCAATTCAACCGGTGATAAGGGGAGGGGAGGATATAGAGGGCAAGTGGAGGAAGGGGATGGAGGAATGGATATGAGAAATGGAACTAGAAGCAGCTCCGAAAGCTTTGTGGATGGAGGGAGGAGAGAAAGGATGGAAGCACGCAGCGAAAAGCAGGAGAAGGGGAGGGAGAGAAAGAGGAAAAGACGAGTGGAGAGAGAGAGGAAGAGAGAGCGAGAGAGCGAGGGAACGGGAAAGGAAGAGAATTAGGGAAAAACGGTGAGCGACGGAGCCAGGGAAACGGCGCAAGAGTTCCCTGTGAGGACACATCGGAGGGCTTTCAGGCCAATCAAGCGCATGCAAAAGAGCTGCTAGTCGGATCGATTTCAATCAGACGAAGCAGAAAGCAGAAAAGGACGAGCTCTCGACTTGAGTGTGTCGGAGAGGCTGCAAATCCAAGTTGGCCCGATGGGGCCGTCGTGGGAAAGCGGGGAAACCTGGGTGGATCCCTCCTTACAATTAATTCCTTGGGACTTCCAACATACTTCTTCCTATCTGAACAATTTCCTCCATTATTTTTATTAGTGTTCGATACATCACGGTTACAACTCTTTCAATTACTTACTACTTACTAACGATGCCCAATCCTTCAACCTGGCCACTCCCCCCCCCCTCTCCACCCGATCGCTGCCCGTTGGCATCCATGCCATGCAGCCCGGCGACGTGTCATGCGTCCTTCCAGTGGATAATCTACTTAGGCGGGTGGGTAACAAAAAAATACACTCACATTTTATTATTATTATTCTCCCCCAGATGTGCAGAATTCCTCACGGACATTCAAGTATGAAGGCGACCTCCAGCATAACACAGACAAATTGAAAACAATTTTTAGAGATAAGGGGAAAAGGGGAACTAGTAACTAAAAGTATTACTATCCCTACAACAATGACTGGCTAGTGTTTTTCGTTCCCTCCGCCTCAACCCGGCTAGCGACACACAATATACCAAGTATAGTAGCACTATACTTGTACACCCGTGCAGCCCGAAAGGCATGCTGCTGCTGCTGCGACCTGCAGGATGGATTGGCACCCTGAAAGTATCAAGCATGGAGTACAGGCGCAGCAAGCAGCAGCAGCAGCAGCAGCAGCAGCCATGACTAATGACAGCAAGAAGTGCCTCTTTTTTCCCCACCCTGCAATGTCTGAACCTGCCGATCCTGACCGATGTGACCCTCCTTTCTTATTCCTCGGTCAGCACTATCAAGTAACGTATCTAGTTATACTATTAATTTTTTTTCGATCGGATCTCATACACTGTTGTCGCATTTAGAGGGTTGTAGGTTGAGAAAAAGAAAATGGTAGTACTAATGAGAACAAAGGAGGTCGGGGGATTTCCAAGTCACTATACACTCGTAGTAATTACAGAGTACTACGGGATACTTAAGATAAGGATATCTATATGCAGAATGGGTAGCATAGTATACCATAACTGCTACTAGTCCACACCCCTCGGACGTGTCAGCGTACATTCTTCGGCTTCATCAATCATCCAGTCAATCTTGGCTCTGGATGATTGTAATGCTTAGATACCTGCCAAGGCATGTACTATGAGATCGATGGCATTCCCCACATTACTGATGATTTAAAGTCAAGCTCCCCTTGCATACCCCTTCTTTCACTTCGTTCATGTGGTCGGTGTCATCGCCACTCTGACCACACCATGTAACAGACTTGCCTGGCACACTACTTGGTCTGGAGCATTTACTGACGGAACAGATCTAATGTGCAGTACTGGGTATCATTTGCATTAAAAGCACTAATCATTATCATAGAAAATTTCAGCCTCACGGGACACAATTACTTGCCCCATGTCCTGGGAGGATGCAGCGGGTGGCTGGCGGCCGGAACGGTCCCCCGCGACCCGATGCTGAAGAATCGCCGCCAGCCCCGGCTAGCACACCCTGTCCAGTCCACCTCAATGAGATCGGCCCCCTCGTTCACCAAGATACGCCAGATAATGCGGCGCATCCCTTCCGAGTGGCACGGTATGCCTTCGTACCGAGCCAGCAACCCCTTTTGATGCGCGGTTTGCACTTGACTCTGAATCCTTTCGATCTGCTGTCGAGAAAATCGCCCGCGATGAGGCGATCCGATGATCTCGGCAAAGTTGACGGAGGCACTGTACATTTGGAGCGCCTTGATCAGAGATGGATCTTCGTCGGAGCGAGGAAAGGTCCCCGGTAAGCTCTGGTCAGAAAATTCCATTTCGTCTTCCGTCGAGGTCTGGACAGCAGCAGACTCTTCGATTTCTGTTACGACTGATTCATCCAAGAAGATAAAGACGCTCTCATGGTCGATGGAAAGACCATCAAGGTCCACTTGCTCTCGACCTGTCAGAACAACTGTAATAGGCCCTGGGACAACCTGCGTCCCGTTTCGGTGGGTAAGATACCCACGTTCGCTGAGAAGCGCCAGTTCAGATAAGAGACGAGGCCACACGTTGTCTGCAGAGGACCGGATCTCCAAGTACAATTTGAATTGTATTGAATCCTGTCCAAACAGTCCTGTCGCGACCATGGAGTCGTGGTCAGGCTGAGCTTTAGATAAGCTCATAGCATCAAAGTGGTTCAATAGTGGCTCCAGATACACCTTGCGCAGCGTGGACTCGTTCCTGAGGCTCGACCATGAAGAGCCTACAAGAAGGTCATCGTCCTGTAGCCAGATATCGGCCTTGACTCCAGTACAGCCCGCCGCAAGGGAGTACTGAATGGAATCTGCATGGGCTCGTGGGTTATAGGATATACAAGCAGCTGGCTGGCCTTCAAACTCCACAGGCCAATGAATAAATCCCGATTGTGCTTTGTACTGCTCGTGTAGGAAAAGATAGGAGACGCCGTATGGCAAGAGCGAGAGAAATTGAATCGCCACTCTAGAAGTGAGTTAGTAAGCCCTAATCGCATGCCAATCGGCAGCTGGTAGAAGACGTACAAGAACATCAAGAACAGACAGATCAGAGTAAGCGCGCGATCACTCCATCTCTTGGTCACTGCGGCACAGCATTTCCGAAGTACCCAAAGTACACCGGGACAACATTCCGTGGGATGAGAGCGCAACGGATGGTCCTCAAGCAGCACCCACGAATAGGCATCGTACTCGTCAGCACCGAGCAGGGGCTGGGTGCTACTCGCATCGCGGACGTTGAGGTGGGTTGTGGCGGCCATTTGGCGGTCCCAAGTCGCCCGCCCGACCTGCTGCATCTAGAAGGGGGGTGGTGGAAGGCGATCGACGGGTAGATAGCAGAGAACCCCGGACGGGGAGGTCGATGCGGTGAGTGAGGAGCAGGAGGGACGAGGATGGTCGGATTTAAAAGGGGGCAAAGCGTGACACGAGGGCAGGCCCAGACAGCAAGAGATCCATGGTCCTGTGCGACGTTGGGAGGGCAGAGTTAAGTAACATGCCGACGAGCACACGAGATGGAGAAAGTGGATGGGGATGGGGATGATGATGATGTATAGCTCCAGAGCACGCCATTGTCGGCGGCGATGGTTCGGATGTCAGGGAGAAGCACCTCATGGAGATCCCGTCTGCGGTGAAGGGAACACGTCGGTCATGCCCATCATCTTGACTTTCTGACTATTGCTCCGACTGCAGCTGATCTGCAACCTCACTGGCTGAAAAACAGTCCTTGCATTCAATGCATCGATTGCCATTGTATTCCACGCTTCTTCCAGGGGCATGCTCATATGTTTGTGGTTGAAGAATAGTAGACATAGAAGCATAGAAAGCATCAAGTCTGGGCAACTCGCGGAGCCCCGTTCCGAATATTCGCACCTCTCGTCTTGCGTGAGTTTAATTCAGAAGACCCCATTTATCTTGCGACTAGTGGCACTCCTACGGTAGCACCAGCTCCAATGGGCGGACGGACCATCCAATCAAGATGATCCTATCCCCTCTCCCTCATGACGATCATCATCACCCATTGGTGCATCGGTGTGATGCAATCGGATGACTTATTGGGTGCTGCATGCCAATCCCGGCAATTGCAGGCCGGCTTCACTTTGTTCATTCGTATCTTCATCAACGCCCCTCTTTTATCGCATGCTTGCACTGTCCATGGAAACTCGAAGACGAGACTAACAGCCGGTTCCTTTGCTGAAGCCGAACCCCGATCACGTCCAGCAGTACCGGAAGCGGGCCAGGCACAGTAATGGGCATACTTTTTCCTTCAGATCATTAAACTAAAGCCGCCGTCGTGTGTTAGCGTCGGGTTAATCACCCAGCATTGTTCAAAGGTATGATGCCACTAGCTGCCAAAGAGAGGGAACGCGTCCCAGCTCCCGACCGTGAAAAGGTGTGTGCCACAACGGTCGGTCTGTTGCTAATAAGGATTGGATGGTGATCACGTAGGAAAATTCGGTCGCAAATGATAAGATGATAAGCTAGAAGAACAATTTTCGCAGGGCCTCACGACTCTGGTCAACGGAGACAAGAAGATAGTCAGCGATCAAAGTTCGATCAGCGCGTCTGGTGCGGACCCAATCCAACAATGGGTTGTTCACGTTTAGCCCAACAGAACCGAGAGTTTGAATTTTGAAGCGATCCTTAAACCAATAGTTTAAGGTGTTCGCTCGATATGGATATATCGGCCCAGTTATCCGACTTGAACGATCTGCCTTTTGAGCCAGACTTTGGAGGTCTAAGCTTAGCAAAAGTCCCAACCCCCGGGCCAGCGCCACGACTTCCTCTATGGCTCGCGAATCTATGAAGCCGCAATCATCCAGGGACAACTTGATGACCGTAAAGCACTTCACGGGGCGCTACCGAGGCCGGATGAACGCAATCGGATAGGAGAAGATGGAGGGCATATTCTTCTTACCCCGTCAAACGTGTCGCGCTCTGGACTTAGATTATCAATCATCTCCGGTTATGCAGCGATACGGTATGCGTCTATCGCCCCATTTGGTTCGTTGAAGTCGTCATGCTGCTTGCCAGTAACAGATATAGTAGACAATTTTAAGTCGGGACTTCATTCAAGGCAGTGGGCTCGAGCGTCACTCGATACAAGTCCTTAGTACTTTCCTTATAATCAGCCGGGAAGATGCATACTGCGGGTTCCCCTCAGACAGATAATACAGCCGAGTCAGCTAACCCCATGGTCTGGGCAACTTATATCTTCTCAGTAATCTCCCTGCAAATCTACACACAACTTCGCTTTGTACATGCTAGTGCGAGTAGCGGTTTCGTGCGAAGATCTCATGCGGTCGGTTGGCAAGTATGTATAGATCTGTTAAATCCGTGGATGTCTAACGGCAACTTAAGATGAATCGGGACTCACATCACGAACCGCTCATTACTCGGGGCTATTTGACCAACAACATAGGCTCTTGAGCACAGTCTCATTTCTTCCAACATGACTCCATGGGCTTCATCGCGTATCGTTCTAAAATCAGCGTAGGATTTCTGGAAGTCTCTCGTTCCACATCTAGTCGAGAAAAGGTGTTTTTTGGGCATTATTCTGCAGCGTGTTTTTCTCCATAAGGTCTTTCTTAGAGCCGAAGCTGCGGTTCGGATAAACTCTCCCTTGGAAGTGTCCTGGTCTCAAATTCTTCGGCTGTAAGCATCAAGACGGTTCGTATGTTCTAGTCCACGTCAACAAAGCGGCATGCCACCAGCCAGGCACTTCGCCAATAGGTGAACTGCTGATCTAGGGCATTAATCCCCTGCATGATAGACGATTGATTCCGTACAGCTGTGACCCAGTCAATAAATGCGATTGCTTTTTCCACGACACGGGATCATGCAGAAACATGCTTGCTTTTCCACGAGAGACGTCAAAATTGACGTAAGACCCATCTTCTGCAAGCGCTTCGATACATAAGAGATCAATCAGAGCACTAAAAGCCGATGATTAGAAAGCGGGAGTTTTGGTCAACTCGGGACTGACAGCTCCATGGCTTCAGGAGTCTTCTAGAGAGAAAAAAACCTGTAAATATGAGAAGGCCGTGGTTTGTCCCATTTGCAGCGTCATGTGAGCGTAGCAGACTATCAGTAGACTTGCTTTCGCCATCACTGCCCACTCCTACTCCTGCAGGTTTCAGACGCTCCCTGGATTCTCGATTCTAATGCCCCTCTGTCTTTCAATATTACGATGCAATGCCTTGCAGATTGGGTTTTGATCTTATTGATAAAGACGGAAACAGATGGGTGTTGTCTTGGGACGGCTCCTATAATGGCCTGCAGGTCGGAAGGGCAATTGACGAGGCACAACTGGGTTTTGCAAGCATCACGAGCATTGCTTAAAACTGTTGAGTATCAGCCAGCCACGCTGTCAATTGCTGCATGCAGGCCCAATATTATATTTCTGGAACGACTATTCTTTGTGACAGAGCCTGTGGATGCTCGGGGTCTCTTCGTGTCCCGTGTTCAGCCAGCTACAGTATACGGCAACTTGCATTGCCTATATGTTGGAAATTTGCGGCCAGTGATGACCAACTTTCAGACTTTCAAATGAGCATATTGGCTTGCTAGCTAAGCTCAAAGGTATGCTTTCGCAAATGTGACTGATGTTGGCCGAGTCCAGGCGGTCCTAACTATGTTTCGGAGATTTGTTTGTATAGTGCGTTGGAGACCATCTTCGTTCCCATTCTTCTCTAGCTCAGCTCGTGTACTACTGAAGCTTACTGTTGAGATAGGTACGATAGGGTTCCACACACACTAGGTTCTCGGTCAGTGATTGGTACGCTCGTGGGCCACGGGTTGTATCGGTGGTCCGTGGGAACAACCCAACCCTAAGGGACCAACAACGAAGAAGGAATGAATGATTTTGAGCCTTTCAGTGTCGGCAGGAGGCCATTGCAAAGCCGACGCGAAGCGTGGCTGTGGCGTCATAATAATACGGAAGTGGAGGAAGCCTGCGTCGGTTAGTTAGTATCCCTGCATATCCCCCGACCCGATATCAGCACATCATCATTTGCCCTGATAATGGCCAGTCATTCGACGTCGTCCTGAGCGAGTAGCTACCGGTAACCTCAAACCTACATCCTGGCGAGTGGATCGAGTTCAATTTCCTCAATTTCCTCATCATATAACTTCGCTTCGTGATTCGCAGGCGCGTTCCGCGACTAGATTGCCTAGTCGATGTCAGTATCCAGTTTCCTGCAGATCCGATGCTTTCACCGACCACTTCAACTGCGGGCCAACGTTACCTCTCTCCAGACCCCGTCCGGCTCTCCGACGGCCTCCTCTTAATCCCCTCTCAAATCAAGCGGAGACCTGCCTGAATAGGGAGAGTTTCTCTATGAGCCCACACGCGATTACCTCGCTTCCGCATGAGATGGGTCCATTGTTGGCAATGCTGCCTAATGTGCAAAAGGGCCGTCCTTGCCTCGGGGGAACTACATAAATAGGGACCATCCATGCCCCAACGATGGATGAAACTCTCAGAATCCTCCGCTCTAGTGAGTTCTTTTCTCACACCGTTTTCGAGAGAGAGTCCACAATATGCGGATTACATCGGCAATTGCTTCGTTGCTACTGGTCGGCACGGCCGCCAGTCTTCAAAATCCCCATCGTCGGGCTGTTCCGCCCCCTCTCACACATCGCAGCATAGCGTCTCGCGCCGTACCCGTTGAGCGCCGATCCAACGACTTTGAGTATTTGACAAACAAGACTGCAAGTACGTCATTCCGTCTCCAACCGCATATCTCCGTCTTACTAATTTCAATTGCAGGATTCCTCGTCAATGGCACAAGCATCCCCGAAGTCGATTTCGACGTCGGCGAGTCCTACGCCGGTCTTCTCCCCAATACGCCGACTGGAAATTCCAGCCTGTTCTTCTGGTTTTTCCCCTCGCAGAACCCAGAGGCCAGCGATGAGGTTTGTAGTTGTTCCATTCTCTCGGTCCTGCCTCAGCGGGCTAACAATTGACAAAGATCACCATTTGGCTCAATGGCGGCCCCGGCTGTAGTTCTCTAGATGGCCTGCTCCAAGAGAATGGCCCTTTTCTCTGGCAGCCGGGCACTTACAAGCCCGTCCCCAATCCATACTCATGGACCAACCTCACCAACGTGGTCTACATTGACCAACCCGCCGGCACAGGTTTCTCCCCTGGCCCCTCGACAGTCAACGACGAGGAAGACGTGGCTGCCCAGTTCAACAGCTGGTTCAAGCACTTCGTCGACACCTTCGACCTGCACGGCCGCAAGGTCTACATCACCGGCGAAAGCTATGCGGGCATGTACATCCCTTACATCGCCGACGCCATGCTGAACGAGGAGGATACAACCTACTTCAACTTGAAGGGTATCCAGATCAACGACCCGTCCATCAACAGCGACTCAGTGATGATATACTGTACGTTTCCCCTCATATACTTCATAACCAACCACCAACACCATCACTAACCACATCACCCACCAGCCCCGGCCGTCCGCCACCTCAACCACTACAATAACATCTTCCGACTAAACTCCACCTTCCTCTCCTACATCAACGCCAAAGCCGACAAGTGCGGCTACAACGCCTTCCTCGACAAAGCCATCACCTACCCGCCTCCCACCCCCTTCCCCACGGCCCCCGAAATCACCGAGGACTGCCAAGTCTGGGACGAAGTCGTCATGGCCGCCTACGACATCAACCCCTGCTTCAACTACTACCACCTGATCGACTTCTGCCCCTACCTCTGGGACGTGCTCGGCTTCCCCTCCCTCGGCTTCGGCCCAGACAACTACTTCAACCGCTCCGACGTCCAGAAGATCCTGCACGTCCCTCCGACCGACTACTCCGTGTGCTCGGAGACCGTCATCTTCGCCAACGGCGACGGCAGCGACCCCAGTTCCTGGGGTCCTCTACCCAGCGTCATCGAACGCACTAACAACACCATCATCGGCCACGGCTGGCTCGATTACCTCCTCTTCATGAACGGCTCCCTCGCCACTATCCAGAACATGACCTGGAACGGTAAGCAAGGGTTCCAGCGACCCCCCGTGGAGCCGCTCTTCGTTCCTTACCACTACGGTCTGGCGGAGCTGTACTGGGGCGATGAGCCCGACCCGTATAACCTCGATGCGGGTGCTGGGTACTTGGGTACGGCCCATACCGAACGTGGGTTGACTTTCAGCTCGGTGTATTTGTCTGGTCATGGTAAGTTTATCCTATCTCCTTGCAAACAGTCTACGATGAATATTTTAATGTGCTGATCGTTCTTTCCTTCGCGTGATAGAAATCCCGCAGTACGTTCCTGGCGCGGCTTACCGCCAATTGGAGTTCCTGCTTGGTAGAATTGATAGTCTTTCCGCGAAGGGGAACTATACCTCTTGATTTTAGTTGATAGAGACCAAAAGATGACAAGGAAGTGATTGGATGATTTCAGATGGGAATGTGTTGCATATATGAGATGAGATGATGTATCAATGGGGGTCTGGTGACTTGTACATATGTAGATCGGTAGTCAAAAGGAAATTATAGGTTAGGGTATGCGACGTAACATTGAATGCATGTACACCACGTGGATTCATTCAAGGGGCTTACTGCAGTTTCACCCAATTCCGCGTATAACCGGTATCAAACACAGCCTCGTGTTCGTCAGGCGATGTCAAAAGATTGCTACTTCCTGTATCAATATCCTACAGTTGCTAAATCTGGTACATTTTACATAAGGTATGCATTCTCGCTAAAATGCTCAAGTGTAGTAAGGTATCTATATAAGCTCACAAAAACCAATACAATGCATGCACATCCCCCCAAAGCGGTAGCTAAGGCGTCCTAGCACCCTCGCCAATTCCCATCAACCCTCCAGCTATACCATTCATGCGCCGGTCAATCAGGTCTTCCTCGCTGGCAAGGCTATTGATACTTCGGTTCCTCTCCCGCAAAGGAACAGGACTCGGCGATCCAGAGATATACCCGTCTCGAGGAGGTATCGTTAACTTCATGGGTATGGGACGCTGTTTCTTGGTGATTCCTGGTCGCAGAGTTCGCCCTCGGGAGACGCTACGAATGCGTTCCTTTTTAGCATCCTCGCTGTCACCATCCTTGGCAGCGATAGCTTGACTATCAACATCGGTACTGTCGATGGGTGCGCTGGAGCTGCGATGCAGTGGCGTCAGTGGTGTCAATTTCTTGGTGCCTATCTCGAGAGGCCTATCCTCGTCGCCGGATGACTCTCCGGTGAGATGGCGTCTATGATTGCGCGAGTTATTTCCGCGAGGAACGGACTTAGGTCCCTTTGGTATCTGTGTACCGTTGGCGAGGGCTTTGGTAAAACCAGAGGATGATCTTTTAGCCTGAGCGAGATCGAATAGATCTTGAATCCAACTTGCGCAGCGATAGATGTGCTTCCAGCTATCGGGAAAGAAGCCTGCCATTTGCATGAACCCGTGAGAGATACCGGGCAATAGGGATACCTCGACGTGGTCTTTAGCGTTGAACCTACGATAAGACTTTTCGAGGCCCAGTTCTTGTCGTTCCTGAAATTGGCGGAGCTTAGCTTGTCTTAGTCGCCCGGCGAAGATGACCGTGTCGTCGACTAGAGGGTCACGTTCTCCGGTGATAATGTACGTCTTGGGAAAGCGTGCTAGGAGGTCTTCGGGAGCCAAGGCTGGGGAGAGTAGGTAGTCCGTATTGAAGTCGGGGAGGTTGTGCGGTCCGATATATAGGATGATCATTGCCCTCATCATCTCAGGGGTTAATATACGATCATTGACGTAAGATATCATCGACGAGACGGCCAGCCGTGTTTGGATCTGCTTGGGCTGGTGCTCAGTGATAGCAGCCGCTTCATTTTCAGGAATGTCCATCTTCTGTTGCTGCGCCAATTTTTCCGAGGTCGCGTCAACCAAATTTCCAACTTCCAAGTCTGCATCAGAGAAAGAGTCACGCTGGAAATCTCCGAACGACGTTCCCGGAGAAGTAAACGGCGTCAACCGGTGATAATCCATATCTTTCCTTCGGAGCACGCTCTCATTGGTTCGACGTGTGCTTTTCTCTTGGATCAACGCCATTTGCTCTTCCGTCATCCAGCTTTCTATCTTCATGTTTAGCGCGGGATAGGGTAGAACCAGCCCGTCCGGGGGTGGAAGCATGTTTTGTCCTTGCCATCTAGAGGCATGTGTACTGCCGGATTGAAGGATCATAAGGGTGACGCCTGTGGCGAGATTACCACCAGCACTATCACCAGTGATGACGACACGAGGACGAGTCCGTCCGTTGAGGCCCAAGCACCGCCCACGGGTAGAGACAATGGAATGATATACATCATAACACTCGTTTAAAGCATACGGATACGGGTACTCCGGTGCTTTCTTGTAGTCGAGACTCAGTACGGGAACTTTGGTTCTCGCCGCCCAGGCCAGAAGTCGGTCTTCGGAATGCCGAGGGCTCATCGAAACAAATCCACCCCCAGGAACATCGAGGACAATGCATGTTTGATCACGTAGCGCAGTCAATGACCCATCGAAGTAAAGCCATGCATTTGTCGGCTCCTTGTAGATCGAGGACGCTGGTCGGGAGATACGGATGGCACGCGGAGGGTACCTCGTGAGCCGCGGGCGGCCCAATTTGGCGAGTGCCCAGAGATACGGTGTGGTGCTCTTATTCCAAGACACACGCATATGCTCTACTGTGAGTGTAGCACGTACCCGGCGAACTTTCTCATCTGCCTGTTCTGCTGCGATAAGGTAGTAACCAGAGAAAACCAGAGACGCAATATCTCGTAGCCACTTTGGCTTTATCCCCATTGCCGTCCAAAACCCAGCGTCTAATCCTGTCGCGATCCATGTTGCCCGGAAAAAGGAGCGCGAGTATAGGTTGGCTAAAGGCTCAGGGCACTCAAGGCCGACAATTTTCGCAAAATTGCGGCAAATGTAGAGCCAGAGGAAAACAAGGACAGTGGTTTGCCAGACGCTCAGCTTTTTCGAAAGGCGCGACGAGATCTTGCGGATAAAAGGAGGGCCATTCTTGTTTCCTCTACGATTGACCTGTCAGCAAAACAGCGGTAAGGGACGAACAAACGAGCCGCACCTTAACAGATAGGTAGACCAGAATACAAGTACAGCGAGAACCTGGATCTTCCGGAACTTTGTAGATGGCCGCCCAAGGACGTGGTCTGGATGTATATATTAGCAGAAGACTCATGACATCCCATGAGGTTCGCTGGGCCGTCAGTTACCTATCATTTTACCAAGACAACCCCGGGTATGAATCAGGCAGCAGCAGTCTATAAGGGCTCTGGAAGACGTTCTATGAAATATACAAGATGCTTAAAAAGTATACAGAAGAGAAATAGTGGAAGATAATCAAACGGAAAAATTCATATTTCAACTGCGCATTGAAATGATGGGAGGGGCAGTAAGGAAAGGACAAAGAATGGACAAAAGCGGCGAACCACTGTAAAAGAGGAACAGGTGAGCAACCGGCAAGCAGAGCACTAGCCTGTTTATGATCGAAGTATGTCAATAATGGCACAGTTCAGTGACCCAAGTACGGGGGTATGTGGGGGGAAAGACAGAGGGTAGTTAGTTGGTGTAGAGCGAGGGATCCATGGTTCAGCTGAAGAAACGTAGTTGCTGCATGTGAAATCCCCACCAGTGGATGCATGGTGATCCAGTCATCTGGGTAGCGTCAGTAAGCAGCCCTCGAATAACCGGGATTGGTGTCGATCACTGATGGCCCCCCGCGGTGGCTAGCTGAATGGTGGATAGCAGGATAGTACGGACGTAGTTTGTTGTGGGCGAAGGGAAAAGGCGGAAGATTGCCCGTGCCAGGTCACGGGAGAGCACGGTCACATGCAAATCCCGCCACGAAAGAACTCATGTGCCATTCCTCTTCAGGCATTTCCGGAATGCCTCTACGGAAGCCAATGATGCATGAGGGATTCACATCTAATATATATATGAATATATATTATACATATTATATATAAGTTAGAATAGTATAGCATTTCTTTTCCCTTATCTTTCTAGACTCCTCTACTCATCATAATTTCCGGCAATAGTCGCGACCGTGGGCGACCTGCCAATCACACAACCAGACCTCAAACACCATTCCCAGAAATCCCGCTATACAAATTCCGGCGGAATCGCTGACAGTCGTCGCTCCGAGTGAGAATTCGCGGTCCTCCTTCGGTACCCGGTCCCCAATTTCGGCGAAAGTATTGACATAAACCAGTCCCCCTAACAGCCCTTCCCAGAAGATGATTATGAAGATTATGTACACGCTTGGGATGAAGTCAAATAAGGCGTTTAACGTCAAGACGACCAGATTGATGATCTGCAGCAGTGACGGAAGGTAGAGATCGTGAATGCGGAAGAAAGGGGTCGACGATCGAGAGATGAAAACACCAACCTGATAGATCGCATTGTACGCGGGATAGAACGCACGGTAATGCTCGAACGGCGAATCTTCAAGTGGAAACAGAAGGGTTGGAGAGACACCTTGATTGATCGTGTATTCGGCCACATAGACTAGCAGCAGGGGAAGCATACTGTGCGGGAAAAGAGTAAGCATGCCAATCATTGCTTGATGACACTAGCGTGCACTTACAAGGGAAAGAAAAGACCCCTGGCTCGCTGCAGGTTGGCTTTAAACACCCGCAAGCTAAGCATCTGACTCGCGTCGCTCCCTTTGTTATGGCTTGGGGAAACTGACGAGCCGAGTAGACCGTGCCGCTCATCGAGAGGGTCATCCTGATCCCGATCCTCCTGGTCAATCGCACGATACTCAACAGGTGCAGCAGGCAATGTCCGTATGGGGGCCCTTGGCAGAATGGCGAAGAAGCTCACCACCATGATCGCTGGTAGGCAGGCAGCTGCTAGGAGCGTCGACTTGACACTGAGCCCCATAGAGGTAGTTGCAACGGCGTACGCACCAGCACCGACCAGCCCGGCAGCTCCGGTACCACTGCCCCAGGCTGCCAGACTAAACGGGCCGTAGAAGTGCGTCAGTGCGAGGAAGCTCAGTTCACCTCCTCCGCTCGACAAGCTCGCCAGAATGATACCCGCGATCTTGGTGTAAATTGAACCGCCATCTGTATATGCTGGGCTCAGGGCCACTAAAAGCATACCCAGAGCTGAACATAGCACACAGAACAATACCCGAGCAGGATATGGAACCAAATGGATAAAGTAGGGTGCAATCAGCTTCGTTCCGAATGAGGGAATGACATCTGCGAGAAGAACAACGCCCTTGGGGATACTAGGCCCTACCAAATCGAGGGCAGCGGACAAAATGATAACATAGAGGACATTGTTGATCAAGCCTATTGCATTTCACGCATGCCGGTTAGTGAGCCACGAAGAGTTCTTATCAGTTCGCGGAGTCTACAAGACAGTCGACGGCTTACCAAGTAGCCAGAATGCAGCACAGACCCTGGGGTCAGCGCCATGGAACAGTGCACCGAATCTCTCACGAAACCGGGACCATGAAGAAGACGGGGCTCCAGGAAGAGGCAGCATTGGTTGCCCGTCAGGAGCAGAAGACATAACCTGATAGGGGAAGGAAGGGATCCGAGTGGTTCTAGTATGCTACAAATAACGTCCCAGAACGAATACAGCAGGACTGAACACAATATTCAGTACGATCAGGGAGTAGGGAGGCTGCAATGGGGCATTCTCATGGCGAAACGGATTGACGGTGAACGTGGTAGTTACTTGGTAGGTACCTGAAGGATGATAAGCGTGTCACGCTCATCCGCCCAGAAAGGGCGGTCCCACGTGACGCCTTACTCAATGCAGTAGTAGTTGTCGGACCTCGATTCCATCTCGCGGTGTCGCATATGAAGCATGCATACAATGATAAGTAGAGTGAGCAGAACCACCAGACATCCAGAATAATTTCACTTACGAGCAATCAAGGCACCCATCTCATCATGGCTTACTGTCCATCCAACCCACCGCCGGGGGCGCAATGCACCCGGCAGAAAGGCCGAGTGCTATCGGGACGATCAGGGCTTATCGGGTAATGCTTTCTGCCATCGCGATTCTTCCTTCTTCCGTCCCGACCTCCGCCACTCCGCATCTTCTTTCTCCAATTCTCCACCAGCTTCAAGCAAGACCAGATTATACCACGGAGATTAACATTATCTCATTATCTCCTGAACAATAAGACGAACTATAATCAACAACCACAATGTTCCTCCGCACCGCAATCCGTCTCCCCGCCAAATCCTCTCTCCCTCTCCGCGCTTTCTCAACCCGCGCGGCCCTCCTCTCCGACAAGCCTCCCTTCGCATTTGCTAGCGGTCCGGCTCCTCCTCGTCTCCCTAAAGAGGAGCAAGAAATCTTCGAAGAGCTCCAGCGCAAGTCTACCGGCGCCTTCAGCACCCCGCAAATCAACCAATCGCCCGACTCGGAGCCTGCAGTGGCAGCTGAGATCAACGCCACCGGCAAGGGCGAGGAGCTTCATCCCGATGTGAAGTATGGAGTGAAGCCTGAGTTTGAAGGAGAGAAGAACCCCAAGACTGGAGAGATTGGTGGACCGAAGAATGAGCCTCTGAGGTGGGGTGCTGAGGGTGACTGGAGCTACGGTGGACGGGTTACGGATTTCTAGAGACTGAGATGTCATTTCTCTGTTTGATGTCCGTGGATGTTGATCTATATAAAACAAGGTGCATGTGGAGGTTGACTTTGGTGCATGAGTGGCGTTGGTTAATGATTGTATAATGGTTATAGAGCTCTTTCTTCCCCCTCTCCTCTCTCGTCCTGAGCTATATTTGTATATTATTATGCCGGCATCGAATATGTTTCGAATGCTCCTGATCTTTCATGGTCAGTTGTGAATACATCTCTGAACCATTGTTGATAAAGTCTCTTTACATCCGGTTCCTTTACCTGCTTGCTGATCTATACTCTAGATAAAGTGCTTTGGAGCGAATAGGGCCGGTTTGTTATTGGCCAAGCAGTGCACGGGAAACTAAATACAAAGAGATAGATTTGGGACCAGAGTGTAAATACTATACTTTCTTATTGACAGGTCAATTTCAAGGAGTAATCAACCGTAGTCAGTGAGCGCCAAATCATTCTTCTTGATTGGTGCCACATCGGGCTCGGCTTCAGATAACATAAGGAGTTAGACACATTCAACACATACCTAATAGCAACCGCTGCCGTATACGGTAATTATCCGGAGATATTAAACCACGAGCAATCATGCTCCGGTCTTTGCGACGATCACGATTTCCCTTATCAGTCACACAGTCTCTGCGATCCTCTCGCTCCTGGCAACAGCGGCAATCGGTATCCGAATATGCAAATGAACACAGCACTCCGTCGTCACACCCCTTCCTTGATCACCAACTCTCAAAAGCACATCCTAGTGGGTATACTTTACTCTATAGCAGAACTACGTCGTTATTAACCATCAATTCTAGAAGACGATCCATACATATACACCGGAGAAAGATGGCTGCATCGCGACAAACTCCAGCGAGACTGTCGCCGCATACAGTTCAATTTTCCTGCACTCTGTGACAGAGTCATCCATCTGAATCTAGGCGCAACGAAGGTTGCGAAGTACGAAAAGAAAGAAGGTGGATTCAATAGGGTCTTTATCTTTACCATGGACACAGGCTCTCGTATCGTAGCAAGGCTGCCGACTGCTACTGCTGGCCCTCCAAGATTGACAACCAATTCCGAAGTCGCAACAATGACATATTGTAAGGCTGGACCTGGCCCTCTTGTGCATGATACAACTTGCATAAGACACTGATAATGCCAATGATGTAGTACGATCCAAGCTGTCACTTCCAATACCCAAAGTCCTAGACTGGAGTGACGATCCAGCTAATCCGATCGGAACCGAGTATATCGTCCAGGAGCATGTTGAAGGAGTGCAACTTCATCAGATCTGGCTTCACATGAACTCAGAGCAACACATGCTTTGCACCAAAGCTTTGTCGATGACAATCAAGCAGATGGCGTCTCTGGACTTCCCAGCTTATGGAAGTCTATACTTTGCTGATGCGCCTCTCGAAGCGCACTTGAAAATCCCCTTCGAACAAGGGTTCTGTATCGGGCCGCACTGCAGTCCAGTCTTTTGGAATAGAAATCCAGGAGAGCTGGAGCTCTACGGAGGGCCAAGTCCTGATTGTGGTCCTTGTTAGCCTCGTACCCTCATATACTACGCCCAATTCCTAACACAGCGTGTCAATATAGGGCGTGACCTCACAAGCTATTGCACAGGTCTGATTGAGACCGGCTTCTCTCGACTACCACAAGAAGAAAATGGCAAGCATAGCCTCCCTCACCAAGGGTCGATTCAAGATCACGTTCAATTGCTCCGTACAAGCCAAAAAGTGATGCAGAGGCTTATCGAAGATAAACGCATCCAGGATGCCGCTGCGCCAGCCCTAGTGCACCCTGACTTTCACAAGAGAAACATCTATGTCTCAGCAGAAGATGCTACTGTCATCACTGGCATAATAGACTGGCAATCAACAAGCATCGAGCCTTCTTTCATTTATGCCAACGAGACTCCCGACTTCGCCACTCCTCCTCAAGACATCGAAGGAGAGATATTCGGAAACAGGGAAGGCGAACCCACTACCGTTCATACAGAGAAGGAGCGGAAAGATGCCTTGATTTGTTATCAGAAATACGACGTATGCATGAAAGGTCTAACCCCTAAACTTCGACCCGCAAGGCTGCTTGATCCGACCTTATTCCGACTCTTCCACTACACCCACACAACCTGGAGAGATAGCGCGACTGCTATTCGTCAAGAACTGATTGAGCTATCGGATCGGTGGTCTGAGCTGGGATTGCATGGGACGTGCCCGTATTCTTTGACCGATGAGGAACGGGAAAAGCATGCTAAGGACTATGAGGACTTTGAAGCGGTGCAGAGTCTGAAGCTGTGGCTCAAACACTCTTTGAATACGAATTCTGATGGCTGGGTTCCGAATGAGGAGTGGGATGCGGCTAGGGATGCGCATCGGGCGGCTTATGATGAGTGGATTGAGACGGCGAGGGAGTTTGAGGACAGGGGGGAGGAGGGGATGACGGTGGAGAAGGCAGAGAGGTTGTGGCCGTTTGATGAGAGATAGTCTACTGTTTATGGAAATTGTGCAATATAATTCTGCTCTACTGCGAAAGTTGTATGCGTCGAAAGTCTAAAGTGTGCACTTAGCGGAAGACCAGCAAATACATGAATGATGGCTAAGGTTGCTATGTAACACGACTGTAAAGTTATCTGCAAGCACTGATTCACTCTTCCATCCGCGCCAGTATGGCCTTGCCTGCGCGACTCTCATTAGCCCGACCCAGCTCCCCACTAATCCAGGAACCAATCTTGGCCATCTCCTCCAAATTGATACCGGTGTGCATGCCCAGACCGTGAATGGTGTGTACAAGGTCCTCCGTCGAGACATTCCCCGTTGCACCCTTCGAGTAAGGACAACCACCAAGACCACCCACACTACTATCGAAGATGCGGATACCATGCTCCAGACCTACAATGGTATTGACGAGAGCCTGTCCATACGTATCATGAAAGTGCAGCGCCAAATCATTATTCGCAATTCCGGCCGCCTTCAGAGCCTGCAGTAACTTCATGGTGCGGGGTGCCGTGCCCATGCCCGTAGTATCAGCCACCGACACCTCGTCGGCTCCCATTTCAAGTAGCGTTGCCGTGATATCAGCTACCTTGGCTGGGGATACATCGGGGCCCTCGTACGGACAGCCCAGAGTAACAGAAACATAGCCTCTCACTCGGATGTTCTTCGTCTTTGCCAACGAGACGATCGGACGGGTGCGTTCTAGTGACTCCTCGATTGTGCAGTTGATGTTGGCCTTAGAGAATGCCTCTGTTGCTGATACAAACACGGATATCTCGGTTGTTGTCGGAGGTTTCGTAGCAGAGCCTGTCGTATCTGCCGGGACACCTGTGGCATCCATGACTTTGATCAGGCTCTCTAAACCCCGCACATTAGGGACGAGGTAGTTGTAGGCAATAGCGTTCTGCGACTGTGGGGGAGTCTGGAGGAGGTGCTCGCAGATCTCTGCAGTGCTGGCCATCTATCATACATATGTGTGTTAGTCTTGTATTCCAAGGAGGAATGGCGTCGTTGCTTCTCAATCCGGATGCGGGCTGTTCGTACGTACCTGGGGCACCCATTTCGCTGGGACAAAAGATCCTGCCTCAATTGTCGTTACGCCCGTTTTAGCCAGCTTCTCGATGAGCTGGAGCTTTGTCTTGAGTGGGATCGACTTCTTCTCGTTCTGTAGACCATCCCGTGGCCCTACTTCGACGATGCGGACATGGTCCGTGGTTAACCGCGCCTCAGTCGCAAAGCGGCGTCGAGCTGGGGCCGTGCGAAGGGCAGAGAAGAGGCTCATTCGAGGTCGGAAGGTCATCATTTCGGCAATTGATATCAGCGGTGATACATGTACAAAACACTCATAAGCAACAGGAATGAATATTCAGACCACGCGACAGCTCCCTGGAAAAGAGGAGAAGTGATGATGGCAGGATGAACTGATCAGCTCGTCCTGCGGAATGCGGAGAACCGACCGAGGCCGAACGGCGTGACCCCACCTGACCCGCCCTGCTGACTCAGCCTAAAATATCCATCATCCCACTTTGGAGTCACTTTATCGCTGCTCCATAGCGTACTCTATCACACCCATATTACACCATGAACGGCATACCGGAAGACTCCGCGCCATCGAGCGCCCCCCTGCGACAGCCCAAGAAGAGATTCGTCGGTCGCCGAACAGCAGACGCCCAAGCACAGAAGGATGCATCCACCGCACAAAATGTCGAGACTACCAGTATACAAAAGGGTCAGTACCCCTCCATCAGCCAACACTACATGCTCTCACAACTTCACCACCAACTTCCCAACCAACTGACACTTTTATCAATATACAGCCGCCCCCCGCCGCACCCCCCGCACCCTAAATCAAGTCCCTCCGGAGATCCTCGAAGACCCCGAAATCCTCGCCGCCATCGAACTCCTCCCACGCAACTACTCCTTCGAGATACCCAAGACAATCCACCGCATCCGCACCTCCGGCGCCAAACGCGTGGCTCTCCAATTCCCCGAAGGCCTGCTCATCTTCGCTACCACCATCTCCGACATCCTCACCCAATTTTGCCCGGGCATCGAAACCCTCATCATGGGCGACGTGACCTACGGCGCCTGCTGCATCGACGACTACACGGCGCGCGCACTCGGGTGCGACCTACTCGTCCACTACGCCCACAGCTGCCTGATCCCGGTAGACGTAACCAAAATCAAAACCCTCTACATCTTCGTCGACATCAGCATCGACACCACCCACCTAATCGCCACCCTCGAACGCAACTTCCAACCCGGAAAAACAATCGCCACTGTCGGCACGATCCAATTCAACGCTACCCTCCACGGCCTGAAACCCGTTCTCGAGCGCGCAGGCTTCAAGGTCCTCATCCCGCAGATCATGCCTCTCTCCAAGGGAGAAATCCTAGGATGTACCTCCCCGACCCTCTCAGCTGACGAAGTCGATATCCTTCTCTACCTCGGCGACGGCCGATTCCATCTCGAGTCCGCGATGATTCATAACCCAGCTATTCCGGCGTATCGGTATGATCCGTATTCGAGGACGTTGTCCAGGGAGACGTATGTTCATGATGAGATGCACACGCTGCGCCGGGATGCGATTAATACGGCGAAGTCGGCAAAGAAGTGGGGGATTATTCTGGGGTCGTTGGGACGGCAGGGAAATCCGAATACGATGGCGATGATTGAGAGGCATTTGAATGAGAAGGGCATTCCGTTTGTGAATCTCCTCTTGAGTGAGATTTTCCCGGGCAAGTTGGCGTCCATGGCGGATGTGGAGTGCTGGGTGCAGATTGCTTGTCCGCGGTTGAGTATTGATTGGGGGTATGCGTTTGCGAGGCCGTTGTTGACGCCGTATGAGGCGTTGATTGCGTTGGGGGTGAGGGAAGGGTGGGAGACCGAGAATAATGGGGTGTATCCGATGGACTTTTATGCGAAGGAGGGGCTGGGGAGGACGAAGCCGGGTCAGGCAATTGCGGCGTGAGGTTTATGATGATGTCAAGTGATGTTTTTGCATGATGCATATGAATGACTATAGATGTGATTTAGGTTTGTCTGGGATACAAAAGCTCATGGTTATGAAATAGAATTACCATGTTCTCTTTGCGGAACATGTGGAAAGCATTCGTCTATTTTCCGAACATGTGGGTAATAATAATAATAATACATCATACAAGTACGCTACAGTGCGGCATACATCGTTCATGATCCTTTGACCTCATCCGCACTATCCGTGTTGAGGTCACTGGCACTTCCTCGCCGCAGCGAGAGAATGCTCTTGCTGGCGAACTCGTCCGCCGTCCGCTCCGCCGCGCGCCATCGCGTAACAGCTTGCTCGACATCTTCGAACATTTCCAGCGTGTCCTTGATGATACCGCCCTCCTCCTGTTCGGGAACCTGTGTGCTCTCTCTTGACCCGCTATCACTGATCATAGGGAAGGCAGGCCCAAAGCCACGTTGAGGGATAGGGTTGAACATCACGGCGTTGGCGAACATACGGATCAGTTCCTTCTCCAGCTGCGCCGAATTCACAATACCCTTCGGGGGAATAATGTCCTCTGTCTTTTGCAACATAAGGACTGCATTCTTCGAAGGAGTCCCTGTACCCGGCGCCGGTGATTCCCCGTCGCCTGCCGGTGTGCTCGCTGCCTCTGTAGCCGCCGCCAGCGCCCTGCTACCCTGGTGAATCAGTGACTTGATGGTCTTGATATCTTGCGGTCGGTAGATAAGATCGCGGTATCCCGGTGCGTCACGTTCTGTCAGCGGCTTTGAAAAGGTGCCTGCAACCTTGTGCATGCTAAGCTCACTCATGATGGGAGCTCCGGTCCGGGGGAAGTTGCGCGCGCAGACTACATAGGACGTCGACTGATTAGGATCAACGCGAGTGAGCTGGCTCAGCTCCGACTGAGTAGGTTCGGCCTCTAGGCTCTCACTCGGAGCACGCTTGCGCTTCGGCCGCCCCCTGCTCGGCCGACTGACCGAAGGACGTTCGGGCTCTGCCATTTCTGAGATACCAGCTGGAGTACTGGGTACTTCATGCTTGATTTTCGCCTGGGAGCCAGTCCCCGTATCCGCTGTGGACTCTTCGTCCCGCGACAACACAGACCTTCCGCGGCTTCGGGACGACGCTGTGCTTCTGTCACGGTCCTTACCGCTAGACAGCGTTCCCCTCTCACTCTTCCGTTTAGTCCCTCCTTTGCTCTCTGCATCAATCGACAGGGTCTGATCAGCGCCAGTTCCATTGCTTTTCGTCTCGGTCCTCCGCTTTCGACGGCGAGGCTCAGGCTCCTCCGGCGTCGGCTCACGAGAACCCGGCAAAGACGGCGCTTTCTCACTGATAGGACTGATCTCCTCAGGCCGTGGCCGTTCGGGCGAACGAGGAGAGTGGGGGATGCTCAACCGTGGAGTCCGCTTCCATGGTGTGAGAGAGCCAGGTGTAAGAACGCCCGTGTCAATCGAAGGCCGGAGAGGCCGCGTGCTCGGTGGCCGCGAAAGGATGGAACCCTGCGCAGGTCCAACCGGGGTCTGGAACGCGGGTGGTGGTATGTTCTGGGCAGGTGTGTGGGCGGCCGCAGGCACAGGTCCTGGAGTCGACGGAGCAGGTGTTGGGCGTGGTCCTTGCGGTCCCTTCTTGTTTTCGAAGGCTGGGGTAGGTGGAGGGAAGGGAGACTGAACCGGTCGCCCAGAAACAGCGGCGTTCGTCGGCTCTGGTTTCGGCTTTGCGAAAGCTGGGGGAGGTTGTGGCGTTTGTGGAGGTTTGTTTAGAGACCACTGCTGGAAACTAGCCTGGGGCGGAGGTCGCTGAGGCGCCGGGCTAGCAGCTGGAACAGACTGTCCTTCCTTGGCAGAGGGCTTGCTGGCCAGAACTGGCTGTTGCGGAGTGGAAGGGACTGGCACACTTGCCTTCTGTGGAGCTTGCGAAGGTGTAACAGCGGGAGGGCGTGCGACACTTGGGCTGGGTACTGAGGCATTGAGCGGTCTTGGCGACGGAGCCGGTGGCGCGGCCACTGGTGCGTGGTTTACGGGGGCATTCTTGGGCACAATAGCTGGTTGAGATGGTGTCGGGAACGCCTTTCCATTCGGGGCTGGTTGAGGCGGCCGACCGGTCGCTACCTGAGGATTGGACTGAGGACGAGGTGCCGGTTGTAATGGCTGTTGAGGTTGTTGTTGCGGCAGTGGCTGAGGCTGAGGCTGTTGCTGGAGCTTTGCCTTGTTTGTCGGTGGCAGTTCGACGGGCTGTACCGACGGCGCGGCCAGAGGCTGGGGTTCCTGCGGTGGGCGCGCGACAGGTTGCGCGGGCTGCTTGCTTGAATCCAGCTCCTTCCGCTGCGGTTCCAGTGGAGGCTGCTTAACATCAGCAGCTACCGACGGGGTCGCAACTGGCAGAGCTTCATCGCGGGGTCGTTGAATTGGCTTCTGTTCCTTCACATCCACATCCATTGGTTCTGGCGCGGGCTCCTGCTTCGCTGGCGCAATCGGTTGCGCTGGTGGGGGTCTTGCGGAGGTCTCCGAGAGCGCATCGCGTTCCTCCTCCTGTAGCTGATCGATCTCTTTCCTAATATCCCTATACCTCTGCTCTTCATTCTGAATCTCCCGCGTTACCAGCTCCTTGTATCTGGCATATAGGTGCGACACTAGCCTGGGCACTTTGCTGGCGTGGTTGTAACCTTTGTCCGCCAGTCCGTCCGCTCGAGGGCTGGATATCTTCCGCTTCTTGGGGTTACTGGGGGCCGGGCTCTCAGCATGGTGACCGTTGGGTCCCGCGTTTGCTGAATCCCAGCCATCTCGCATCAGCGTCGCATAGAGATCCTCCAAGGCTTCGGGGCTGAGCCTTGCCGCATCGTAGGCGGCATTCTCTCGAATGAAGGGGTTGTTGCGGAGCACATCGGAGATGGAGACGAAGTTCGCGGGAGGAGATTCTAGGCCGGCGAGAGACTGGAAGAAGAGGAGGGATTCAAAAGGCGTGTAGACCGATAGAGGAGGCATCCCCCATTGCCCGTCGTATCGGCCACTGGGGGGGAAGTATTTAGGGATTGGGGCCACGGTGATAGGAGTGATCGCAGGATTGTCGGCCCGACGAGCTCAGTCCGAAAGGCGACAAAGTCCCTCGTCGTACTACTGGAAAGAGTCGTGGGTAGCACCGAGGCAGGATGAGAGACAGATACCTGAGATTCCAGGCCGACAAGACGCGAACGTGAGCGAAGGTCGGGGTGGCGGTTCAGACCATCCGCGCAGAAAAATGAAGGGCGACCGCAAGGGAAAAATCGGAGAGAAGGTCAAAAAGGACGGAGAACGCGATAGAGTCGCGAAGGGAAGGCCGTGGGATGGGAAAAAAAAGAAGCTAAATTTGAATTACGTACAGCGGTATTTGGATCGTGAATAAAGGGTGATGGAAAGGATAGGCGAGATGACGGGGACTGGGGATGGATGGCTGAAGGGGACGGACGGGGGGAGGGATAGGATGGGATGGGGATGGGATGGCATCACCTTTGCGGGCAAATTCACCGGGAGGAAAGGACTCTGGTTTCCTCCAGAATGGGAGTCCCTCCCCTTTCGTTTCTTCTCCCAAACGGGAAATGGCTGCTCTTGGGTCACGTGTGGGACTGGAATGCCTTTCCGAACACGCCGGACTTGTTTTCCTGCTTCGGAGTCACTGGCGGCAGCTTTTCCGAGAGCACCCAGTAGTCCCAGCCTCCATGTCTCCTTACCTGCTCTTCCTCCCATCCAAGCCCAATCAGCGCATTTTCCATATTCTGTACTTGTCTCTTATTTTCATGGATCGTGTACCTTTTGCGCTTCATGATATATGTCCGATTTGCTCCGTTTCTCAAGAGCAGCCGAACCATAGACACAGACCGCTGCCGGATAGCTAACATCAGCGGGGCTTGTCTACCCACTGTCGCGCTACGCGGATGATATTCATTTACATCCGCTCCATACTGCAACAGTATCTCGGCAATCTCTTCTTGTCCAGCTATCACGGCCTTTTGCAATGGCGTCCTATGCCGAGACTCCCCATTTGGACTAACTCCAAGTTCCAGAAGCAGCTGCACCATCTGTGATATTCGCTGCCAGGCGCAGGGGCCTTCCATAGCGCTGAGCAGCAACAGTCTACCCTGGTCAGGTGTAAGAGGAGCGCTGAGACGAGCAAACAGCCATCGCACCGCTGCAAACTGTGTGAAGCAAACAGCCAGCCGCAACGGCCCCAGGAGATCATTCAATACCCGGGGATACCGCTTCACAAAGAATTCCATCAGCTCTACATCGCCCCTGCGCGCCAATTTCTCAAATGCTTGCCTGCATGCATAAAACGGCTTAGTAGGGTCAGCGTGTTTCTCTTGGTGATGATGCTCAAGCCATATTCCCAGCGCCTCTTTGTTCCGAGATATCGCAGCCATGGCCAAAGCACTCATGGGGATTCTATAGATCAGGGTGTACCACATGGAACATCCATGCTCCACCATAATTTTAGCGATCTCTCTGTTCCCTCTTTGAGCTGCGACACTCATCGGGATGACCCCAAATCGTAGACATGGCTGCTCTGGATCCAAACCGTTCCGCAGTGCTCTGCTCAGCTCCGCACAATCCCCCCGTAAGATGGCCATACAGGCCAAGATAATCGGCATCGACTTTTCAATCGGCTCATTGAACCTGTTGTCCACTTTATCAATCCACCACTGACATACCTGGCGATGGAACATGCTTGATGGATCATTGTTCCCCGCTATCGCCACATCAATCAACTCCTCAGTCAATTTCTCCTTGTCCTCCAACGCAGGAGCATCCCCCAACTGGTACTCTATCACTTCCTGCACGAAATACGTAAAAGCACATGGTCTGTGCGAATGCTCTCGTAACTTTCGCTGCAGGTAAAGCCGCTTCAGTCGATCAGGGAAAGTACCCCATGGTGATGAGTCCAGTTTCTCTTTAGTCAAAAAAGTAAATAACTCATCCAGATCCTCGCCATTTATAAGATAGTCGATGATCTCTTCGTTGAAAAGGCCTGCATTTCTGTCAGTAGAATGCTCAGGGAGAAGGATTGAGTGGTGGTCACGCACTATTCACTTTCCTCGCACGCAACAACTCCGGCAGATACAGTTGGGGTAGGAGGTGGTGGATGATCTGGCGGAGTATCTCGGTGGGGAGGTGCGTCTTTGAGGATCTCATTATTAACTCGAAGTAATGATGACTTTGTGGCTTTCTTTTTCGTTGTTTTCTGGTGTTGGGTTGAATTACGGGCTGGGATTCCTGCGCAAGATAAAGAAGCTAGTACAGAGTAGATGTTAACGTTAACTATATCAGGAATCGGGCTGACATTGGGGCGGAAGGGTCCGTAAGTAATTCCTGCTAGTAAGTCAGCCACAACAGTAAAGTGACCAGTTGGCTCCTAGTCAGGGTAAGAAGCTATTAATTGTCAACTCCTATTTGATGGCGTTGTGACATGTGAAAATGGCACTGTTCCAAATAAGGCTGACCATGTAGGAGACGCATAGCGACAGACCAGCTGAAGCTATACAATGACAACCAACAAACCATCCATCGACACATCTACAACAAAACTAAAAAGCTCTGAAAACTTTACCCCTAACAATCCTCTCTATATACCCATCACAACCACCCCACCCTCCTAACAACCCAACTCCCACCCCCCACCAACCCCGTCACCCCCGTAAAAACAATCAAACTCCCATACCCAGACCCAAACCCGAACCCCAACTCCCCAGCCCACGGCATCCCCTTTAACAAAGCCTCACTCAACGGTCCGGAGACAATATTTCCAACGCCCCTACCAGCCGCCAAACAAGCAAACACCATACTCGACTCAGCGGCACCATCCTTCCTGACCACCTCCCTCATAATGCCCGGCCAAGTACTCGTATACGAGCCGGCAAAAAGCCCATACACGATAGCAAAGACAAACAACGGGCCTAGCGAAACACTAAACCCCCAGATCAGAAACACGCCCACGGTCGATCCCACAGTCGAGACCAGAATACAGGTCGTCACGTCCCACCGGTCGATAATCGCCCCCATAACTACGCACCCTACCACGGAGGCAACGTTGAACAATATCACCGTGAGGGCTTCCAAGCTGCCGGATGAGACGCCGATGGCTCTTGCATATGAAGGTAGATAGATAGACGGGAGGAAGTACCCCACTGCTTCTATCATGTTGAATAGCTCGAAGAGGAGGAATGTTCCTGATGTCCAGAGGAATCGGATCTCCTTGAGTCGCGGTCGTGGTGATTGTTGTTGCTGCTGTGTTGGGTCGGTGCTATTCCGCAATGCAGGCGGCACTCTGGGCTTAACGAACCAGACCAACGGGGCTGTCAGCACGAACAGCACGACCGCGAACCCTCTCAGCGCTATCCGGAATCCGTATCGATCGAGGAGTGTTTCCATGACAATGGGGAGGATCGCGCCGCCTAGACCGGTGCCGGCCCACATGACGCCGAAGGCGAAGCCCCGGCGTTGGTCGAACCAGTCTTCCATTAGGAGGATGCAGGGTGAGTAGGCGATGCTTCCGCCGATGGCGTAGAAGATGCCTTGGGAGATGATCAGGTGGGTGGTGGTTGTGGAGAGGGAGGAGAGGCCCAGTGAGAGACACATTGTTAGGACGCCGAGGGCGCAGCCCAGACGCTGGTAGTGAGGGTAGGTGCGGTAGAGGGTGAAGATTATGGGGAGGTCGAGGTACATTATTCCCTGTTTTGGGGGTGTTTTAGTTAGTTGGAGGGAGGTGAGGAGAGGGATGGGAAGGCCGACTTACCATTGCGCATGTTCCGATGATGGCGATGTTGTTGGAGTTTTGGAACATGGGGAGTGTGCTGTAGTAATCTTGGAAGACACCGTAGGTGAAGGCGAACCCCCAGACTAGGGCTTCCATGACGAAGCAGGCGGCGAGGAAGAACCAGGCATCTTTGCCGTGGTCGATGGGTGGGAGAGAGGCAGAAGACTGGTTTGTTGGATCATGGGGTTTTTCGTTAGGAATATCTTCCTGGTCTGATAGTCTGACCATGATGAATATTATGGCAAAAATGATAGTATGCAATTGAAAATGAAGAAGAGCGAATGTCTATATCATAGTATGTTTAGACGGCATGCAAAAAAGCAGATAGTATGTCGTCTGGGTAACTGGATTGAGCGACTAAGCTCTATATAATACTTCCTTTCTCCATATTCAGAGATCTAAATAATCAGAAACAGCAAATCCTATCTTATATTGATCAATTATGAGAAACTGCGCTTGGGCCATGTCAGCGACGCCCTGTCACTGACATGCACCCGTTCACGGTTCCCATTGGTGGATTCGATGCTAGCGTCTTCTGCATTTCATGCTTTTTGCGTAATATTGGCCTTACTATAACTCATAACTAGCGGAAGTATACTTGTAATTATAGAGAACTGATAGTAGTACTCTGAAGAGGTTATTTCAACGTCAAGTTATGCGGCAATTATCCTGAGCTGGATGTGATGAACGTCCGGGATCTAATTTACCTGAGATTGGGGATGTAACGCGAAAACGATCTTCGAGTATCACTGTTCAATTAGAGTGACGAGTCACATATCTTTTCAGATATAAATGATTGAAAAGGTCTAACAAGTTTTTTGTTTTAAATGGCCATATGGCCTACATTCCATTGGAGTCAACATATTTCCCCTAGACAAAAAGCACATCACTACAAGTGCTCCTTGAACCACTGAACAGCCTGCAAGAAAGCATTCTCCTTAGCATACTGCACCGTGCGGTTGGCAGGGTCTCCGCGGACAGCAAAGCCGTGCGCAACGCCGCTGTAGAGGTTGATCTGGTAAGGGAGACCCGAGTCCTTCAGGATCTCTTCGGATTCATGGCGCTTCTCAGCGGGGAAGATTGCATCAGTCTCTGCAGCAGCAATAGCCAGAGGACCCTTGATGGCCTTCAGTTCCTCCGACTCAACGAAGGAAGGGTGGGCGGTGTATCCAGCATCGATCTGGCCGGGGCGGAGATGGCGCACAACGTACTTGCCACCGAAGCAGTAACCCACGGCACCGATTTTCTGTAAGATGTCAATATCTTTCCGAGTCACTTCAACTCACTCGTGAAAGCCATACCTTGCATCCATACTTGGTCCTCATCTCCTTGATGCAGGCCTCGATGATAGGATCGACGACCTCGGGAGTATGGGGCTTCTTGTCCTTGTGGTATGCGCCACCCTTCCATGCCATGATATCGAAGCCGTCAGGGCGGTTGAGCGGGATGGCGTCGTTGTCGAAGAGGTCAGGCATCATAACGAAGTAGCCATTAGCGGCAAACTGGTCGGCAATGAGCTGGGCGTTGATGAAGCGATGGCCGATCACATCCGTGATGCTTCCTTTTGTTAGTTTTGGCTGTTTTGGAATTTTCCTAAGAAAAGTACATACACCAAGATACCATTCTCGGTGGACTTGTCAGCAGGAGAGCTGGTGTAGATCTCAAAATCATTGAGCTGCGAGAAGCTACCCTTGGCTTCACCTTCGTGCTTGACACCTTGGTAACAGCAGCTTCCAGCGGGGAGGGATGCCATGATTGCTTATCGACGATTTATGCTGTAGGCTGATTAAATCTTGGAATATTGAGCTGTGAAAAATGACAGCAATTTTGACCGAAGGGATGAGGGGAAGGGGACTAAATAGCGGGGCATGAGCTGCCACCTCCGACACACTCGGAGGTACTTATCCGTTATATCCGATAAGATGTTAATTCCATGGTTAAGCTAGCTTCACTCAGCCTAGATCGATGAGAAGGATTTATCCCAACGTAAAGCCGCCACGTTTACTACGATTACATCGGCAAGCTGTAAGCGGAGCTGCTTACCGGCATGCCGTTCGTATCATACATTCCCGAGGCTTTGATGCGCAGCAACGCATACAACGCAGATGAGCGAGAAATCATACGTTATAACCAAAAGAATCCACCTCGATTATAGCTACATTGAGAATCAAGCCTACCGTACAGAAACTATGTTCAATGATGGAACCTGGTCAAGGCAAGCTCAAAGCTCAGGTGTAATGAATCCCATCAAATATACCAGGCTCCTTTATAGAATATGATGGGACATCCACTGCAGCCCGGCAGCTGTTAGCTGATCCTTCGCCTCTTCGTCGTGCGTGGTCTCCCACCACCTCTTCCATCCACCACTCAACCTCTTGAGATCAGATAGAGAGAATAGTATACATAATATTTTCGACCCTTCGTCTTGACAGAACTATGAACTGAGAGTACGATAGCATGGCCGGTCGTCGTAATCATTAAGATAGCTTCACGATGAGCTAGACAAGATCAATGTTACCTCCCACCCGGCCTTATCTCCATGTTTCAGACCCTCTTTTGTTGCATCCTTCGGGTTTTGCCGTCGGATCCGCGCAGCGTGCGGCATTTCAAAAAGTTACCCATAACTTGTTCTGGTGACCATAGTGTTGGTCACATATTCAGCTGGTGTTCAATCAAGCAAATCCCCAGCTTTATCCAGATATGTAGCCGCTGCCCTACTGAATTGGAAAAATGGCTTCGTGCATGTCTTCGGGCCAAGTTTCTCTTTTATTTCCTGTGACCAAGACCAACAAGTGGAAAGGAGTCTATCTTCCGAGCAAGGTCATGGTGCGATGGTTTCGTAGTGCTCCGTAGTAAGTTCTGTATTATCAGGCAGCTCATAGTCAGCCCGATGAAGTGGGTGAGGAAGAGTGTTGTGCAAGCCGAAAATAGTATATGCAGGTACACACGGACGTCTTGCAGCACATCTGTGATATGTAAACCGATCGTCCTAGCTATAAATACACTGGACCAGGCCTATAGACAGATCAAAGACAGATCAATGTAATATCCCAAACTAAGCATCGGTGCCTGAAACGCCAGAGGCTACCAAACCCTTCCTGGAATGCAAAATAGGAGCTAGCTCATTCATACTTGCAGTTGAGCTGACACCGACTCCGCGTAACAAGCCGAGTTCTATTCTATTTCTGGCAAGCAAATCCAAGCTGAGAGGGAAGAATAGGGATCACCGCATTAGTGGCCGCTCTCGTCAGTGACATGCATAATCGCGATGGGCTAAACGGTAAGGTTGCGATCTTCTGGAGCTTGCTTTGCTGGAATTTGACATGTAAATATCAATAGCTGGAGTGGTGTACCAAAATTGGTCTCTTTGGCAGTCTTTATTGGTCACTACCTATGCGAGTATCTCTAATGGGCACATCAAGGAAAAAGCAACTCTTCAAAGGCGGATCAGGATGTGATTTATGAAGGACATGTATGGAAAGACGCAAACGTTGATACTGTCAGCCCATGAGCCCGTGTGGAAAGACCCCGTGAGGAGATAGTAGGGTATGACCACCGTAGTTGCAATGTTTCAGAAGATAAAATGGAAAACGGCGTCGTGCAACAAAATGTATAGATGGATGGCAACTGGGATCTGCAATAAGAAAGAAACGAGTGGCCGGGTGGCAATAAAGAGGGGCGGGGGGTGGCAGCAAGGCAGTCATGGTGAGTGGCCTCACCAAGACTCAAAACAGGGGCAGATCCGATCTCACGTGACAGTATAATTTCCCATTGGTTGCGGCTCCGTCATGGAAGGATGGGACAGGATTCAGGGGCATCCAGGCAAAATGGACGATGCAATTCCACTACCGCCCAACTAGTGAGGAGGATGGAGCTGCACTATTTACCCTCAAAGGCAATCATGGAGCACCCGAACCACCCATGGATGAGTTGCAACTTACCTAAATTGACTATTCTTTGACACAGACCTGACACCCAGCACCCTCCGTCTATCCTTCCATGTTCCATCACTCTCCTTCTTTCTTCGCCATCGCTTCCATCGCCTTTCTACGCCTGCTTCTTTACCTGCGACGAAATTAAAGCCGCGGACGGCCCTGCATCCCACCTCCATCTTTCCCCCCCAGCGCTTGCCATCGTCATCCCCGCCGATCGTGCCGCCCCTGTCATTATCCATCCATCCCCATCGGACTCAATAACCCAAAAGTGGTCCCTCCCTACCTGCCCGGTCTCCAGTAGTGCGACGGCGTCCGCAATTTTGCCGATTTTCCCCTCCAGCCATCGCTCGAGTCCTCGCTGCCCCCTTTTATAGTTATTACTTAGATCCCGGCCGGTCCTGGTCGCCGTCATCAAAGCTTCTATATAATCAATTTCTTCGAATCTTCGGTGATTTTTCTTCCTCGCCTTGTCCACTCTAGAATACTCTGAGCGCAAGGTCCACCCCGTCCGTGCTATCATATCCACTTAATTACCCCCTGTTCCGTTCTTGACGCGCGCGCGCGCTTCTAAACTCCTTCCCACGTCTTGGACTTCATTTCACATACTCCTTTTCCCCCCCTTCCCAACCTTCTCGCATTCATCTTACCCCCCCTTTCGCTTCGATCCTCCATACCAGTGCTCCATAACCAACGCCCTTGACAACCACTAAACAAAATGTCGGACATCGATCAAGAATGGAAGCCCAAGAACCGTCCACAGTCGTTCGTTCTCCTCTCTTGCGACCTTCTTCTCTCCCGAACGTTGGTGTTGACCAAGACGTGGCAGGACCATGGCACAAGCCTTCTCATCCGCGCTGGATAGCGCCTTTTCGCTTGATTCCGATGTCAATCACCTTTCACAGACCATCGATCAAAAGTAGGTTCCACTTGGGTTGTTGATGATTTGCGATCTTGTCTCGCTTCTAAGCTTTTGTCGATGCGGCGAAACTGACGAGCCTGTCAACCATAGGAGACACCAAATGATGATTCAGGAGCGAGAATTAGAACAGCTTCAGGCTAGGATCCGGGAAGCTGAGGAACGCCTCAAAGCCCGACAGTCTTTGGTCCTCGACGGCAACAACACAAGGTCTCCTTCGGCGCAACGAGGGGACCGGTTCTACCAGTCAGGTGAGAATTCCCAGCTGGACAATATCTGCCACGGTCGTCAGTGTTGCTGACAGCGCTTGGTTGCAGCATCCACCTCAGCATCGACATCCCCCACGGAATCCGCAGGCCAATACTCCAGCGGCGACGAACAACAGCGTGGTCAGGGCCGCAACTCATGACTGCCTTTGACGGGCCGGGGTCGGTTATTATCAGCATATAATTTGGGTCAAGGTTTGGGATGGGAGATTACGGATTCGACTTCACTGCTTTCATCTTTTATATATCCTCATTTGGCGGGCATGTTTGGAGAAATCGGTTCTGTTGGCTTGGACGCTCCGTCATTGCTTCCCTCCACCACGTCAACGCCGACCAAGGCTTGGAGGGGAAACAACGCCGGCGCGGCTCGCTTGTCGCTCCCTCCCCTGATGTATTGGGTGTTGACCACATCCGCCTCTGTGCGGGCCATCCCAATCTTCGAAAGTTTCGGAGAGACAGTCGAGCTTGTCGTCCAGTCAGATTTGGCGTTAAATATTGTTTACACAGTCAATATGTTGGCATCTATTTGGTCTTCAAATTTCTGGCATTTGTGTCTCAATATAGCGAAAGCGAAAGACCGGCATCCATGTCGGCCACGTAATGCGGTTATATTAGGGTGTCATGTTTGAACCTCATTCTTTGCACACCTATATCAGACGGGTGAGGGGTGGTCAATAGATCAAGACCGATAGCGTGCCGAAATACGCGCAGGTTTCCATGCACAGTGCAGCATATCTGGTGCCAATATAGGACAGCTGTATGCAATTTAGAATCTGATATCAGTCAATGAAAGCCGATGCGATCGCATGGCTGCAAGTTGAAGAGCTTCCTACTGGCCTGATGCAGGGCCGCATCACGAATTGGGCCGACAACGTGTGGCTGCAAAGCGCACATCATCTTGTCAATATTGTACTTGAGGCGAGCATGAAGGTGGGGTAGGTAATACAGGCCACGTTAATGCCACTAGCGGAAGATTTTCTTGCCCTATCGCGGGCCATCCGCCAACAGCGTTTGCCCCTTCCCTTGGACTATTGAAGGAGTTGTTCCTATTCGGACTGCAAACGTCCTCTGCTACCAGCAATGCCACTACTTGTACTTGTACCGGTTTCTTCTCCTTGAGCGATACAAGAAAAGAGGTAAACATACAATGCAACTTCATCTGTTGGCGACGAGCGTCCGGCTATACCTTCACGCCTACAGGCCATCGTCTACATCAAGTTTCCCTATACCCAAGAATGAAGTCTGCAGGTTGTCCTCGCTGCTCGGGCCTCCAATATGACGCGTCTAGTACCTAAAGAAGAGGAGCGCGGTCAATTCAGCGAAGACCGTACGTCTCTGTCTCCCAATGGAAGAATTTCCGAGGGGAGGGTCTGGTCTTCGACTAGGTACTAGCGATGGTTATCAGATGCATAAGAGGACTACTTGGATGATCTGCTGCGAACAGGGCTGCCAGCAAACATTCCCGTCGTCTTGGCATGAGTGTCACCACATTGACATCTGCCTGTCCTGATATTAATATTGTCAACAAACTTGACTTTAGTGAGGCGGGTGGGCTGCAGGGCATGTTAATGGGTTTCACCATCAGCATCTGCAAGCCAAAGTCCGGCGAAGCACGACATTTTTAATGGATGCTGCTGGCCTGTCATCTGACCTGCTAGCCGAATCTGGCGATGCCGGGCCTGCATGATGATACCAAACCCGTACTGTACAGTATAGTATGTATGGTATCCGTTGGGTTTGCAGGGCGGCAGTATACTAGTGGCCTGAGTCTTGAGGTGGCAACGAAAATGGGGTATCTGAGCGCAGCAGCAGAACTGAACAAGACAGGATGCTATTTTGAATCGCTCAAGCAATTTCTTATATACCACTCTAAATTGAATTTATCCTCTCGGATTTTATCATCATCGGCCCCGAGTGGGAATGAAAACCTAAATTGCATTATCAACCAGCTTCACTCATGATCTCTCCTCGGGTAGGACCAATGATGTCAGAATCATCCCCCGGACCTTGGAAATCCCCCCAGACAAAAGGCGCCCGAGCAACGGTCCAGACCCCCCAAACCGATAGATAACTGAGCTCTGAACTGTGAAGTGTCCTGCAGGAGCTGCGTCGGTGCGACCTACCATGTCAGCCACTGGTCCCTGAGCTCCCGGTCATTCCCTGTTCCTCTTTCGCCTTTCCCAACCCCTCATCCCGGCCCTCCTCCTCCCCTTCGTCTCTTATCAGGCTTTTTTCTTCCGTCTCTCGTCCCCTCAATATCTCGGACTCCTTAATTCCTTCGTTGTTCTTTCTTCCCCGTAATTGTTCTTTGGAGCTGGTCTTCGTCTTCATCCACTTGAACTACTCAACATACTTTAATCCCATCATGGTGCTCATTGATAAGCACGAGTACGTATCCCAAGAAGAGCGTCGCCTGAGAGAGGACCGTGAACACTCGCGGTACTGGAAACGATGGGGGCCGTATGTGGCAGAGAGGCAATGGGCTACTGGTATGCTTCTCTACTACCTGTCTCATCCGAGTCGCACTGGAAAGTACCTGGACTAATGACCATTCGTGATGCCCCGCAGTTCGCGAGGATTACTCGTAAGTCTTCATGCATCCACATCCATTTGGTATCTGGACTAGAAAGCAAGCGACATATACTGATCCTTCTGTTTCACCGATTATCAGTGAGAATGGAGATGCTTGGAGCTGTAAGCCCCTCAATTCACATGTGTGCCGCGCGGCCAGGGCTGATCAAGTGATGTCTAGACTTCTCCCATGATCATGCGCGGTCTAGGACCTTTCGCTGGGGTGAGGACGGGATTGCCGGTGTCTCAGATACCCACAACCTGCAGAACATTGCCTTTGCATTCTGGAATGAGAAAGAGTACGTTGGCTCTGTCCCATCACGACTAATTGGATCTCAAGCTCACTATGGTCTAGCGACTTTCTGAAGGAGCGTCTATTTGGTTTGTCGAATCCTCAAGGTAACCATGGCGAAAGCATCAAGGAAGCTCATTTCCACGTTGATAATACCCCGACGGTTTGTCCTTCAATTCTCCAAGGTGGACGGATCCCGCGGCCCTTCTAACTCCATTGCGCTCTCAGCATTCCTACATGAAATATCTCTACAAGTATCCCCAGAAGAAGTTTCCGTACAAGGAACTCGTGGAAGAGAATGGCAAACGCTCAAGGCAAGACCGCGAGTATCAAATTCTGGATACTGGAATTTTCGACGACAACCGATACTGGGACATCTTTATCGAAACAGCGAAAGAAGAAGACGATGAGGAAGAACTGCTCTTCCGCATCATCGCCTACAACCGAGGACCAGAGCCTGCCCCATTACACATCATCCCTCATGTTTGGTTCCGTAACACCTGGTCCTGGGGCTATGAGGATCAGAAAGAGAAACCATCTGTCGAGAAGGTGCATCCCATGATAGCCAAAACATCTCATCATAAACTTGGGGAGCGATATGTGCAGTTCGCCCCCTCGCCGCCTGTTGGTGACGGTCAGGACGATGTTTTCCCTCAAATGATGTTCACTGAGAACGAAACGAATAACGAACTGTTGTGGAACACCAAGAACAGTCAGCCTTACGTGAAGGACGCCTTCCATCGCCTCATTGTCAATGGAGAAAAGGACACAGTCAACCCTGCGAACAAGGGTACCAAGTTCGGTGCCTGGTACGCCTTCAATGAGGGTGAAGGTGTTCCTCCTGGAGAATGCGCTGTCGTTCGATTTAAATTTTCGCGGAAAAGGGGTACATTTCTGGATGAAGAGGTCCTCGATAATGTCATCGATGAACGCAGGACCGAGGCAGACGATTTCTATTACCACATCAGCCCGCTTCCCATGAGCGATGATCTACGCAACATTCAGCGACAGGCATTTTCTGGCATGTTGTGGAATAAACAATTCTATCATTTTGTGTGGGATCAGTGGTCAAATGGTGACCCCGGTCTCATTCCACCTCCGCCCGGTAGGAAGCATGTCCGTAACCAGCAGTGGAAGCACTTGTACATGGAAGACATTCTCTCAATGCCTGATTCTTGGGAGTATCCATTCTTCTGTGCATGGGATACGGCTTTCCATTGCATCCCGCTGGCCATGATCGACCCTGATTTTGCGAAGAGACAGCTGGACGTTCTCACCCGGGAATGGTACATGCATCCGAACGGGCAGCTTTCAGCGTACGAATGGAACTTTGGTGATGTGAACCCACCTGTCCACGCGTGGGCCACGTTCCGGACTTTCAAAATTGAGCGGAAGATGTATGGCCGGCAGGATCTTGACTTCCTAGAACGAGTCTTCCAGAAGTTGTTGCTCAATTTTACATGGTGGGTTAACCGGAAGGATTCCGAAGGCAAAAACGTCTTTGAGGGTGGCTTTCTGGGCCTAGATAATATTGGGCTATTCAACAGATCGGAGCCTCTTCCTACCGGGGGTGTCCTAGAGCAGGCTGATAGTACAGGCTGGATGGCATTTTACTGCCTGTGCATGCTAAACATCGCCCTCGAACTCGCCAAGCACCGGCGGATCTACGAAGACAGTAAGCATACTATACTTTAAGACTTTCATCGGCTAACAAATGGCGCGCAGTTGCATCTAAATTCTTCGAGCATTTCATTTTGATCAGTGATGCCATGACATTCAAATCTGGGGGACAGGAGACGTCCCTTTGGAATGAGGATGATGGGTAAGCCGTGTCTACCTCTACTTATATAGCTATCAATTACTTACCTTGGGTAGATTTTACTACGACGCAATCTCCTATGGTGATCCTTGGACACAACAGCTTCCCGTCCGGTCCCTCGTTGGCCTGATCCCTCTGTACGCGGTTCTCACCCTCGAGCCCGAGCTGATCAACAAATTCCCCTCATTCAAGAAGCGATTGGAGTGGTTTGTTGAAAACAGACAAGACGTGGCAGAGCGCAACATTGCTAGTATGAAGCACCGTGGCAAGGATGAGCGACTCCTCTTGTCCCTTGTGAGCAAGAGCCGTTTGGAGCAGATCCTCAAGAGGATGCTGGATGAGACGGAATTCCTTTCGGAGCACGGCATACGATCCATGTCAAAGCACCATGAGGAACATCCATACTCGATGGAGGTTAACGGCCAGATGTTCCGGGTCAGCTATGTTCCTGGCGAGTCTGACAGTGCCCTCTTTGGCGGTAACAGCAACTGGCGGGGACCGGTCTGGTTGTGCGTCAATTTCCTGCTCGTCGAGTCTCTGCTACGATTCTACATGTTCTACGGCGACTCATTCAAGGTGGAGTGCCCTACGGGCTCCGGAGAGTATATGCATCTGGGACATGTGGCGGAGGAGATCCAGCACCGGCTACAGCACTTGTTTGCGCGCAACGACGAAGGACGTCGTGCCGTCTACAATGGTTCCGACCTTCTCGACTTTGACGAGCACTGGAAAGACTACATGTGGTTCCATGAGTATTTTGACGGAGACACTGGTCGGGGTCTGGGAGCATCTCACCAGTGTGGATGGACTGGGTTGATCGCTAAGATCATCCACGATACCGGGTAAGCTATGCGACCCAATCCATTTTCCTTTTTTGTATCATTCTAACCAGTTCAACAGAATCAATTGCCGAGTCCCGCAGACCCCCCGCTCGCCATTCGCAGCAGCATCGCACTACTTTGACGACATCTTCTCGCGGACGGCGCGACCACGCGGGAGCCGTCGCCCCA